ACTTACTCGATTCTATTTAACCATTATTTAAAAAATTCAAATTCAACCTAAGATTAAAATTAAATATTTTTAGATAAATTATAATTTGAATCAGGGGTGAGCGCATTGCGTTTTGCGTTATTTGTGATTGTCTCTTGCGCTCATCCCTGATTTGAATGTGTTTATTTTTTTATAAAAGTTTTATATGTATAAGTTTAAATTAGAGATGTACTTCGAGCCTCGTACCCCGATCCTGTTTATGAAAATTCTCTTTGATTCTTGTTTGAGAGTAGGGTGCCTAATTTATGATGACTAATTTAACTGATTAACTAATTTAACATTTTTCACATTTTTTAGCGCAAAAAGTTTTGCCCAGCCCTGGTATATAGCCGGAGCCGTGGGCAATTGAAAAACCTCGACTCCGGCTTCGGGCTTTAAAATCTTAGCTCCGGCTCCAGAGCCGGGCTTCGGAGCCATACCCAGCATTGGCACTACCTTCTCTTTAAATATTTTTTTTGAAAATTTTATTTCCCAAACAAAGTTCTGTCTACAAAATTTTTTAATTTTCTTTAAATATTTTTTTTAATTTTAATAGATAAAAATTCTTTTCAATGTTAAATTTATTTTTAAAAATTATTTTTATTTTATTAAATTAATTTTTGAAAATCAATTATTTCTTTATAGATTTTTGATTTCTTATAAATTTTTTACAAAATCTCGTGAGAGATAAAAAGAATGATGAGGGCATAGACAGCATTTAGAAGATCTAATAGAGAGAGAGGGAGAGAGTGGGGGGGGTATTTATTAGTTAAACATATTTATTTATTTACTATAAGACATCCAAAATCTAAAAATAAATTAATGGCTAAATACTTAAGCCCTAAATTCTTTAACAAGTTTTATAGGCTCTAACATAGTTTTTCAATAATAAAGTATTGTTATTTATCACAGAGACCGGCATTATTATCTTAAGATATGAAAGGAAAAAATGATTTTGTTTCCCTTTCGAATGTTGTTTTAGTCCGGCATTTTATTTAAGTATTTAATTATTGAAATGAGGGGAGGGGAGAGGGGATAGTTGTAAAATAAATATTTTTATTAAATAATTAATTTTTAAAAACAAAAAAAATGCAAAATTTGAATTTATTAATTATTTTTATTAAATTTTCGTTTGTGTTTGGAATGCGCCCTAGACACCACCTTCAACATGGAGAAGGAAGCTCTTCGGCACGTTCAGTCTGTTTATTAAATTATCAAAAAATAAATTTCTTAAGCAAAAACCTCCTCCTCCTTCTTCTCCTAATCACCAAATCGTTGCTTCAAAAAAAGTAGATGACATAGTAAAAGAACAATTAAAGAAAATTGTGAATACAAACAACAATACAGATTTCAGTAATATTTTTAATTTTTCAATGAAAAATTTTTTGAAATTTTTTGCCGGGTATCCACTAACAAAAACATTTAATTTAGAAAAAAAACAATAATTTTTGTTATTTAAAACCCAAACAAATTATTAAAAATATTTTTTCTGCTCTTTCTGTGAAAATACTTTTTAAAGGTACTAACACACAATTATAGCTAAAAATTTATTTATAGATTTATTAAATACTATCAAACCACCCTACGAGGGATATACAGCAAATTACACAATTGTAGAACAAAATAATAAATATTTGGAGGCACTTAAACATTTAACTGATAAATTAAACAAAATTCAAGCCAAAATCGAAAATTATAAAAATAAGCCAGTTGTGATTGATTTGGTAGAAATATTTTTTTGTTATAAATATAGCAATAATAATGGAAAAAAAGAAAAAATTATTTAAAAAAATATAAATATTTATTATCCTTCTCAATTTTTAATTAAAACAATTTAAAATAATTAAATCCCTATCCAATTTTTAATGAAAATATTTTTTATAGGCTTTATCTAACGATTTAACAAATTATAAATATAAAGAAGAAAAAATAATTAAGATGATTGCTATAATTAATGAAGCACTTTTCAATATTTCTTCTCTTGTCCAATTAGCAGAAGAGGTTAGTGGGGGAGGAGTAGTTTAGACTTTAATAATAAAAAAGTTCAAAAGTTCCAAAATTTCTCAAAATACAAAAGTTCCAAAATTTCTCTGTAACCGGTTCCAGTTCTGGAAATCACTGGTGCCGAGAAAATTTTCAAGAATTAAGTTGCTTTTTTTGAAATTGTTAATATCCACGCCTGCACTTAATTGAAACTTTTGGATAAATAAAATAAAATTATTTTTAACTAATTTTAAGGAAGGAGGAAAAATTTTTGAATGAAAAACAATTCAAAATTTGAGAAAAGAAGAGAATATTTTAAAAAGAGAAACAGACCTAGTAAAAATTTATTTTAGTTTTGAAGTTATTTTAAAACAAAACTTGTAGTTATTCCTTTCCAAACATTATTCTCCACTCCCCCCTCCCCCCCCCTCCCAACTCGTTTCAAAACAAAATATAAAACATCCCCAACTTGTTAACTTCCTTTTATTTATTCTTTTCCAATTGTTTATTCATTTTTTTGAATTTTTAGTTTTGGTTTTGGAAGGATTTTATATTTTTTGGAGGGATTTAATGGCTTTAGATAATTAGTCATTTAAATAAAAAGATATTTTTAAATTAAAAATAAATTTTATTTTAATTATTATTAAGCGCTGATTTTAATATTTTCTTTCGCTAAAATTAAAAAAAATTTTTTTTAATTCTAAAACACACAAAAAATATTTATTTTTTCCTTTATTTTATTAAACATTTAAAAAAAAGAATTGATTTATACTTAAAGTTCTCCTTCCTCTCTTCTCAATATTTATTTTTTAAAAACTGCTGTTTTTTGGAGAGGAAAGAATTTTTTTATAAATTTTTATTAGTCATCCATCCACAACTAAACATATTCACAAAAATTCCAGTTTATTTTTTTAGAATTTCCAAACTAGCGAGAGCCTCAAAATTGACACAGTCGATACTTAAATTCCTGAAAATTTCTTCAATTTCTTTAACGTCCAGAATTTTTTTTTAATTTTCATTTAATATTTTTGAAGTTTGCTAACAATAACCCTAATTTTAATAATTAGTTTCTTATATTCTAGTTAAACTTATTTTTGTTAAAATTTTCAAACAATTTATTAACTAAACAAAATCTCGTTCTAAAAATTACCCCAATAAACATTTTTTCTTTTTCCGTTTTCTTTTTATTTTTTCACAAAATCCCTTTTTTCCTTTATTTTCAAAAAAATTGTTTATTGACAAACCCAAAAATAAAAGAAAATACTACTTACTTGTAGCATGTTTAGCTCAAAAAATAAATTTAAAAAAAGCTGTTGGATTTCGTAAATAAATGTTATGTAGGGTTAAAAAAGGAAATAAAATTGTAATAGTGTATTTATTTATTTATATTTATTTTTCTGTTTATTCCAAATTAGAGACCGGATTGTGAGTGCCATACGAGAATCAAGATCTCGTCTCGGGTCTCGGTTCGGTCTCTACTCCAAATATCATGCCATTATTTTCGCCTCACATACATATAGGGGGACAGATTATGTTTTTACTCCATATATTTAAAGTGCTACAAAAGTTTCCTCTCTCAAATAATTACCCTCTCAAATAATTACCCCCTACATAGTTATTTTACCCAAACTTTAACATATCTATAGAATTACGATCAAATTTAATTATTGGAACATTTTAAACATTAAAATTAATCAATTTCGCCTCAATCGGATTGAGATATACTCTAAATCCAGCACATCCTCTCTAATAATTACTCCCTCCAGCGAGAGATTGAAACAATAATTACCCAGGATAATTATTTCAGCATTTACTGTATATTTAATAGAATATGGAGTAATTTGGGGGATTAGTCAGAATATGTGTAAGTATCTAAGCACAATAATTTATGTGGCTAAATAAGTCCATTATTTAAATTCCAATAATTTCCAATATTTTTATATAAAAATTATCGTTTAAAAAAATAAAATATTTTGATATACTTTATTGATTTTAACTAATTATTTCGAGAAAAGCACACAAAACAACATTTGTCAACATTTATTTAAAATCAACACTCTTCAATGCTAAATAATTTTCATTATTTAAAATCAAAATAAATAAATCTTTTAATTTTTGTTAGTTAATTCCTTAATTAATTTACACTTTTAAATTTATTTTTAATTTTTCCACTATTTAAAAATTAAATTCGAGATTAAAGTCCAAAAATCAAAATTTAATTTTTATTTAAAAGAGCAAACATACAAAAATCTAAAAATTAAATTGTTGTACTTTTTATTTGTTTAGCTACTAAATATTTACTTGATACAAAAATAAACTTACTAAGTTTTGATTTATGTAAAATTAGCCATTTTTGGCATTATTTTATCAAAATATATTTAAATGACAAAAAATCCCAAAAACTTTCATTTTGTCGAAATTCATAATCTACATCTATTAACTATTTCTTCTTTTCTTTATTTCCATAACTTCTCTCTTATTGTTTGTGGTCTATAACAAATCCGATTTTACCAATCTGTTTTTTGTCAATTTTTATCGTCTTTTTTTTTCTCAAAAATTGCAAAAGTACATTAATTTTTCTTTTCATTTTTTTTTGGTTCTTGATGCGCGTTTATTTTCTGGTCTTTTTTTTGTTAGTGTAGGTAGTATTTTTTCGTTTATTTGCTTATAGCCTTCATCCAATGCTTACCGGCTGTGGGCGCTGACACTTTTATTTATTGACCGAACCTTCATTGGTGTGGTCTGTGACTGCACACACACAAAAAATGCGATAAAAAATGTAAAATAATTGAGAGGGGGAGGGAAGGAGGGTAAGGAAGGGGGTATTCATTAAATGCGCGAATTTTTCTTCTATTTATTTTACATTTATCGTTATCTATTTTGACAAGTTTTTAATTTTTTATTTGAATTTTTCTTTAAATTTTTAATTATCATTAATTTACATATTTTGGAACTTTTGAATAATTCAACGAAAATATTTAATTGAATTTTTCTAATAATTTTTTAGAAAATCTTTTTTACTTGGCACAATGTCTATTATTCTCGATCCTTACATTTCTCCTAAAGAAAAAAATCGATTGAGAGGATTTAACGAAGAAGAAAATGAAAATTTTGTTTCCCTTCAAGGTTTTGATAATTAAAAATAATTTTTAAAAAACTTTTTTTATAGAAAAAGAGAAAGAAGTCGACCAAAAAATTTCTTCTACTGATAGTCTTGTTACTACTTCAACTATTTCACCAATTGCAAATTTAAAAATTACTGGAAATAAAAAGGAAGATATTTTAAATGAAGTTTCAAATAAAGAAGAATCTTCTCGTCGAAAAGAAAAGAAAGGAACAACAACAACCTCCTCCTCTTCTTCTCGTGAATCTAGTAGCAATAGTCGTCATACTGAACCTAAAAGAAAGTCTGAAGATGGGAAAAAGAAGGAAGGAAAAAGTTTAGGTAATTTTTTAAATTTAAATTGGGGGAAAGCAATTCTTTTGGTTGGTAAATGTTTGTAGCATTTATTTGATTAGGTCAACCTGAATGAACTTTGTCCAAAGAGAAATTTCCATATTTAAATAATTTTTCTTTTTTCTAATTATTCCTTTTTTCTAATTATTCCTTTTATTTTAAATTGTTTGCACTTTCTAAGCACTCCCGTTTTTAATTTTTAGAAATTACGTTGCCTTTATCCATTCATTATTTGCATGTTTTTGTTAATTAAAAACATCAACTTCTACACAGCTGATTGTTTCTGATCAAGATAAAAACTTTTGTTTGTCATTGACATCTCTCCTTCATCGGCACTCTTATATATTTTTATCTATTTTTTGTTATTTGTATATTATCAAATACTTATCAAACCCTATAACGAATATGGCGATTCCTCTTTCTTCCTTTTGCCAATACTTATTTTTAAAAATATTCTCAATTTTAATAATTCCTCCATTAGGCTTCAGCACACGTCTTTCCACAATGTGGGAGGATATGAAAAGAATGATGGGATTTTCACCTGATTGTTTAAATGGTAGGGAAAATTATTTTTTTTTATAATTTTTTTTAAATTTTAGGTGGTTATAGAGGAATTGGAAGTTTAAGTTGTACTTGTCCACAATACTTTGAGGGGCAGTTATGTGAACAAATTGGTTGGTTTTTTTTAATTTTAGAGTAATTTCTAAATAAAATTGATCAAAGTGAATGAAAACACTGCCAATTTATCTATTTTCTTTTCATTGCCTTCTTTTATTTAATTTAAAATTTTTCAGTTTGTGCAAATGGAGGTAAACGAATAAAAGAAAAAACTACAGGTTTTGGTGGTATCCAAACAGAAGAAGAAATTTGTAAATGTACACATCCTATTTACATAACTGGTCGGCATTGTGAACAAGTTAATTGTCAGAATGGTGGGAGACTTTTAAGTGATGGAAATTGTCAATGTGCTGATGGTTGGTATAGTGGGACTTTTTGTCAGGTTTTTTTAAATTTTCTCTACAAAAATTCCTCTCTTCTTTGTAGTATTACACTTCTTCTTGGCTTGTTGCAATTGGAATACCTCTTCTTTTTATAGCTCTTGTTATATTTTGTTGTGTTGTTTGTCGTATGGATTTATGCTCATTGTGCCGTTCTCGGCCAGTAACAACACAGAGAACGCGTCCAAACGAACGACGTTTGTTTTTAGTCGATTAAAAGGATGGCGTTTTTGCTGGGAGTTATTTTTTAATTTGACGTTGAGTGGTTGATTTCTATCCCTTTTAAACCTAATTTTAAAATGACAAACTTTAACATTTTCTCAATTTTAAAGGACAGCGTCGTCGTCAACATCAACAAAATTGTCCATCTGCTTTAGGCGATAGTAGAGGTGTCCAGCGTCCTCATAGTGGTCCAAATCGATCTCGACGCCCAAATGATAATCTTTTAAATGTAAATCGGCGGCAACAGAATGAAGAACATTTACAAAATTTCTATACACAGGTTTTTTAAATTTTTTGTTTATTTTTTTTAATTTTTAGCAAAATCTTTTAAACGCTCAACAACAAGAAGATCAACAATATGTTCTCCGTTTGGAACGTTTTCCAATGCTTTACAACCCAAATTCTATTAATGATAAACCTTTGGATCCACCGCCGCCATATGAACAGGTACATAATGAATTTTCTGTTGATAAAATTCTTTTAAAAATTATGGCCTTTAATTTTTTATTCTGACTGGATCTTTCTAGGGAACTCAAAATCTATATGTTTTTTTACTAAAAGGAAAGATTTTATAATTTTAAAGGCAATTCTTTGTGTTCCAACCCCATTGGGAGTTCCTCCAAATTATTACAATTTAATTACTGAACGACAAACAACTCAATCAACAATTTCTGTTAATCCAAATATTTTAACTGTTCAAGAAGAAAATGCTGAAAATATTAATGAAAATGAAGAAAGGACTGTTTTGGAAGAAGAAAATATTCCAGAAAATAATCAACAAGGAAATCAATAGCCAAATAGTAGTGCAAGTCATACTTCTTTTAAATGAATTTATTTTTGGATTTTTCTTCCTCAAAAACGGTACTAAACGGATTTACAATTAATCTTATTTAATCTTTTCTTCAAAGAGAAAAATCCAAGATTCTATCAATCTGAGGAAAATCCCGCTAACAAATCCAAGTGTTTATGAGAGAGATTTTAAGTAATATTTACTTAATTTCTAAGATCTCCTACAATTTCTATTCTAATCCATCCATTAAATACTTAAATATAGTCGCGTCTTTGTCTTTTTTTTTTGCTCAGGAATTCAAAATGAAAATTACTTATTTGAATCTGTAAATAATGGCTCTAGTTTAGGACATGCGTCCCATGAGCGTTTATGCGTCCCATGAGCTTTTATGCGTCCCATCAGAGAATATGCGTCCCAAAAATACTATAGGCGTCCCATCAGAGTATATACGTCCCAAAATTAGTACAAGCGTCCCATCAAAGAAAAAGCGTCCCATAAATAGTATAGGCGTCCCAAAGATCCAGTCATATGTTCTTCATAACATACATATCTTCTCGATTACATTTAGCATGAAATATCTTTGACTCGTCTATTTCTAGAGAAAAGTAAATACAATTTTGCACAGCTTATAGTAAAATTATCTATAATGTTGCCGGACCTCCCAATATTTCGTAAATTTTATTCTAAACCTGACATGTCGTCGCCGTCGAACTCCGATCCCCGACACTTCTGACACCGAAGGCTCGGGGAGTTACCTACTTATTAATAATCGATTAATGCTAGAACAACATTTAATCTTCTGCTTGTTGTTCCTTGAGCAAGGAAGCATAATAATGTGTTTAATTGTCATTTTTATTTATAAAATATAAAAAGTAGTTTTGGGACGCACATACTCTGATGGGACGCCTATACTATTTTTGGGACGCTTTTACTTTGATAGGACGCTTGTACTATTTTTGGGACGCATATACTCTGAAGGGACGCTTATAGTATTTTTGGGACTCATAAAAGCTCATGGGACGCATAAACTCTCATGGGACGCATGTCCTAAACTAGAGCCTAAATAATATATTCTCTCTGTGATTTTAAACAGTAAATTTACACTCTTAATTGTTTTACTCCAAAACTCTATGTTTGATACCCATTTGTTTTGCTTTTTATGTTAAAGGGCTTACTAGAGACTAGAAATCCCCATAAACTAAATTAGTACCAGTAAAAAGTTTTGCCACTTCTTGCTATTTTTATCTATATCCCCTTAGCAAATTTTTAAATTTCGCCATTTATCACCCAATATTTATTTTAAATGTTTTTCGATTCGCTATTTAATGTTTTTTGCAATTTAAGCTTTTTACTTAAAGAAATAAAGATTTTTACATTTAAATTGATTGATGTCAAAACAAAGGCGTTTATCAATTTCCTAAAATCAAAAATAAACAGAAAATTAAATTTATCAGAAATTAATGGAAATTCCACGTTAAATAGAAAAATGGAAAAAAAAATATTAGGAAAGGATTGGGGAAAGGAATTTATTTTTTTCGCAATTCCATTAGAAACAGTCTTACAATTTTTCAAAAAATTTCCTATTTCCACTTTTTCATAAATATTCAATGTTAATCATTCTCCCTTCGACTGTTGTTCCTTGTAAAGCAGCCTTAGCTCTTTCAGCATCTTTTAATTGAACAAAACGAACTTTAGCGACACCTGGGGTTATCATTTCGACAGATTCAAGATCACCAAATTGCTGAACGCGATCACTAACAATTTGCCAAGTATAGTCGACTGGCAACTGAAAAAGGAAAAAAAGATAGTTTACATTTTTAAAGTAAAAAATCAATTAATAGTTTTAAATAAACATAAAACTCACATTTTTAATGAGGATAATGCGAGAAACTTCATAATTTCCTCCACCACCTGAAGAAGCAGAACCACCAATCGACCCAAAACCACTGCCATTTCCATATTCAAACTTAAATTTTCTTTTATATAAATTTACTTTTAAATTAGACAAAACCTTCATCCCAACAGTTGATTGTTGAGTAATTGGTTGTGAAGAAAAATTTGGAGATGTTTTTGTTGAATATTGAGAACCACTTCCACCACTTCCTCCAAATTGGGATAATATACCAGGCGTTATACGAGGCTGACCAATACTTTGACTGTGAGAGGAGGTATGCGACTGCCCTATTGACTGAGTACCAAAAAAGGTTGATTGAAAAGTAGTGGGCTGGGCAGGAGACTAAAAAAATTTTTGAATTAAAAGATATTTTTAAAAACCTGAAAATGTCCAATCTGTTGTTCTTGTTGAGGAATTACTTGTTGAAGGGTTTGTATTGGTACTTGGTTAGTTATTCCTCCCCAACTCAAAGGGGCAGGTACAGCTGTAGCCAACAAAGGAGTAGCTACTGGAGCAACGGTTCCATTAATTGGAGTGGAAACTGGGACAGAATTCATATTTGAAAGAACACTGGCAACATCTGTGAGAGGAGCTCCATTCGCACCCAAACCCATTCCAACACCACGAAGACCAAACTAAAAATATTTAATAAATTAAAATATTTTTTATTTTCGTTTCTCTCGGTTTCGTTTAATTAGACTTTGATACTTTCGATTAGATTTTTTATTTTTTTTCAAGTTCCGAATATCTTGCGAAACAGCTTTGATACAAATGACAAACCGGAAGTCCACCAGGGTCGCGTCTTTCAATATCCTTCGGATATCGATCCATTCGAACAGCCAAAGTTCTATCCAAAAGTCGTTGCCCATTCAACATTGAGACAGCCTGAACAGCTTCTATAGGATGCGAATATTCACAAACAGCCATTCCTTTTGTTTTTCCCTCTTTGTCCATCTGTAGATCCATCCATGTTACTTTTCCAGCTAATGCACAAATATCAAAAAGACGGCCAACAGTACAATTATAGGGAATCTTAATTAACAAAAGCATTGAGAGAAAATTAACAAAAATTGGATTCAGCTGAAAAGAAAGAAAAACAATTCATTTAATTAATAACCTTATCTCAGGTGAAGAATTGTTATTTTTCACGAAAAAAAAGAAAAACAAACATTTGTGACAAAAACTCGGTTGCAAAGAGGTGTTCCAATTCCCAATTGACGCAAAAACGAAGGACTTAAACCAAAAGTTTCGCTTTCGTTAATACTTAAACTAGTGCTGACACCATCACGATTCAAAGCAGAAGCTGCTCCTCGAGTACGTTCAGGACGATCACCGCCACCAAGAAAATCAATTCCAGTGTCTTCTTTTACTTTGCGGAAGAAAGCAATTGGATCCTAACAAAACATTATTTGTCATTTTTTTATAAAATCTCAGCATGTAAGAAGTTTTTAAAATAAAACTCAGACAACCCGTAACTGATTTTCTGAATTAAAAACAAAGTATTCTGAAAAAAATCTGAAAAGATCAACCCAGTTTGAAGAAATCATTCCCAAAAAATTAGCTTGAACCATTTTCTTACATTTAGCAAGAAACGGCCCCTTAATTTTAATTTCTGACGAGGAAATTGACACAAAAAGCGTCCTACTTACGAAGGATTAGTTTTTCAATCTTTTTTAGGACCCAGAAATCCGGTGAAACTAGGTGAGGCCCTCAAATTTTTTCAATAAAGTTTAAACAAAGATTCACTCTAATCTCCTTTGCAATAATCAAACGATCATGAAGTTCTGTTCGGTGCATGTTGTCAATACATTTATTTGCCCCTTCCCTATGTTTAAATTCAACAACGGCACATCCTTTTGAACGTCCATCTCTGTCTTCAAGCATTTCAACAAAATTTACCTGCAATTTGTTGATTCTTTAATCCGTTTCAATTATAGTTGAACGATTGTGAACGGGTTTATAAACATTTGGATTTATGTAAAAAATGCAAATTAATATTGAAATTTCAAGTATTTAAAGCGCAAAAACATCGTTAGATGAAACAAATCCGTTCACAGAAAATATTTAAATTTCAAGAGAGATATGTCCAAGAATTACAAAATGAGGTTTAAAAAACACACCTCGCCGGCTTTCTCTCGAATAATATCCTTCAGTTCCATCCATTTCAATTCCCAAGGAAGATTAGACAAATAAACCATCTTGTCACTTTTGTGGTCTATTCTATTTCCGCGTTCTGAAATTCAAAAACTAATTGTTGAATGAAGCATCAGCCACATATACACTAAATCCTCGAATGCTAGACACGAAAGACAACCCCCAAAAAATCAAAGGAATCTAAAATCAACGTCTGATTCCATTGAAAATTTAATGAAAATTTGAGAATAAACTAAAGTGGTATTTAAAAGATTAAGTGACCACCAATGAGACCTTTATTTGAAGCAACAAAACTAAAAAACGAACTCCTCTGCTAAAAAGTATTATAAAAATCTATGAGAACGCCGACAAAACCCTAACATGTAGAATCGACATCTTGTACTGTCTACATAAGACGATAAATATTGAACAAATTAAAGTCAATCGGAGCAAATACTAAACAATTTAATTTTAAAAAATCAACGAAGTATTTGATAACTAAAAGAATCCTAAATTTAACGAATAAATACCTCCTCCGCGATCGCGTCGACGTGGAACAGAATCACTTCTTCTACCGCGGACAGGGCTACGTGATCGACTTCTTGACACTTCTGTCTTCATTGAACACTTAAAAGTTGAATATCAAAATAATGTACAAATCTAGAAATAAGATGAATTAAAGGTGGATAAGAATTAAAAACGATAAAATGCAACGTTTAATCAGATAAACCAAAGAAAAATATACAGTAAGATTCCATTGATTGTAGGATTTAGAACGGTAACCCAGTTGAGTCCGCACATTTGAGTCAGATGGACTCAACGCCATTAAGAAATTGAGACGTATACAATGGGGACTCAACCTTCTGACTCAACTGAATTTTCTAATTTATAAATGACAAAATATCCAAAAATGAAAAATTATCCCGTTTCAAAGTGGTAATCAATGGTAAATATTTCAAAATTTCTATTTCTTTTATTGATATTTTGAATTTTTTTCACACAATTTATATTTCAAAAATTTACCACTTTGAAATAAATTTACAGGCGAAAAAAGAGAAAAGAAAAATAATGCAACTGATGAGAAAATATTATATGTTTTTAGGAGAGACAAACAAAAATAAGAGCAATAAAAATGAAGACGCGATAGAAACTCAAATAGCGTTCTACTGGGAGAGATTTAGGCATTTTTCACATAATGGACGCCGGCTAAGATTTAGTTGCGGATTCTTCCTTTTCCCCTCCAATCCTCTTCTTCTGGCTAGCTGCCTATATTGTCAATTCTGTTGTTCACAATGAAGAATAATATGCTTTCCTTCTTGTTTTCACGGTTAAAATTAACATATTTCTAACAATAAGTTTATTAATCAGTTTTTGGCGGTTTCCAAAATTTTCTTATCTTTTTAGCTTTACTTAACTAGCACATTTAATTAATTTTCCTAATTATCGAACTATTAATTTTCAACAGCTTAAAAAATTGTCCGCAACATGTTTGCAGAAATAACGAATTAAATCCGCAACTTTTTTTCACTAGATTTATCACTTATTTTTAGCCCGCAAACTCCTTTTCTCAGTTCTCCGCTATTTTTTCCATGTCGTCAGTGTCGCCTTTTTTACTTCGCCTTTTGCTATTATTTTTTCTACCCTTTACTCTTACCCTTTCGTTGCGACCCAAATCCATCTGCCCAAGTCGCTAATGTTGCTCCTCCTACATTTACTCTTCCCTCTTAATAGTCCTCTTCGTATAAAATACCAAAACACCCGCCCATCACTCCTCGGAAGAAGGCTTCGTTTTTTTTACATAGTCTTCTTATTTTACATCCAAATATTAACTTTTTTATAAAATAACATTTGAATATTTTATTTTTTTTAGATCCGACATTCGTATTTTTTTCTAATTACTTCTTATTAGACGAAAAAATTTGAAATGGATGAGCGTATAAAAAAAGAACTTAACGGTATTTTGGCAATTAATAGTTAAATTATAAATTACTTTAGGCAAAAAGCCATCTGAGGTCCAGGATCTCCTTCTTGACAATTGCAAAGCAACTAGCATTAGCGGTTTGACCGATGAATTTACACAATTGACAACGCTTTCTTTGATTAATGTTGGACTGAACTCGCTTGATGGTTTGCCTAAGGTAATCCTTTGAAGTATTTTGTAATATATTCTCTTTTTCGGCAAATAAAGGTTTTTGGTTTTTAGTTAATGACAGGGCTCCTTTGATGTTAGGCAACATTTATATCATAACCTTAACGTTTTTCTTGATTCTTTGTTTTTTTCTTTCGTTGAATATAAATTTTTAATTTTTAACTGGCCGAAAAATATTCTTTATATTTTGTTATTTTAGCTTCCAGCTCTACGTACAATCGATCTCAGTGACAATAAATTGTCTGGCGGTTTGGAAAAACTCGCGCAAAACTGTCCGCGTCTTTATCATCTAAATTTGTGTGCTAACAAAATTGAAGTCAATTTTTAAAATTTTTTTTGAAGCCTTATTTGGTACATATAATTTAATCTGTATTTTTAAGGCGATCAAAACACTTGAGCCACTTAAGGAACTTACAGAATTGACAGCGTTAGATTTATTTGATTGTAGTGTAACGGTTTGTTTTGAATATTGATGATTTTATATTTTAATTTCTTTTAAGGAGCTTCCACAGTACCGAAAGGATGTGTTCACTCTGTTGCCACAAATTAGATATTTGGACGGTTTTGATGTAAATGATGGTAATTTGTTAAATAAATTTTTGGTTATTTTTTAAAAAATTTTTAGAAGAAGCAGATCTTTCAGATGACTTTGGAGGAGCTGAGGATGCTGGGATTGGTGTTGAGGAGGGTTCTGATGAGGATGAATTTGACAGTCATGATGAAGAAGAACTTGCTTATTTAAATTCTTCTAAAGCTGTTCAGGATGAGGACGAATCAGAGGATTATGTTGATAAGGCAAAAATGGCTACAGCTAATGGAGAGAAGAAAAATGGCGCTGGAAATATTCCGAAGGAAGCAGTTGCCGCTGAAAACAATAATAATGCGAGAGTTTGTTTTTTTCTTTCATTTTTGGTTTAAAATGAAAAAAATTTTTTAGAAGCGCAAGCTCGAAGAGGCTTCTGGTGAAAATGCTGATGGTGAGCCTAAAACTAAAGTTTGAAGATTTGAGAATAAAAAGAGTAAGGAGGCGGACAATAAAACACTAAAAACACTCATTACACTCTTTTAAAAGTTTAATTAATTCGGAAAAGACGTTTTTGGATTTTTTAAAAAATAATTTAAAATTATTTTTTATTACAAAAATATTTTTATAAAAATATTTTTGTAATACAAAAATATTTTTAGAAAAATATTTTTGTAATAAATGAGTGTTTATTTTAAGAGTTGGGGTATGTTTTTTTATTTTTTAGATATTTTGCACATTTCCGATATTTTTAAAATTTAATTCTCATTTTTTAATATATTTTTCTGTTTTTACATTGTTATTTTCTAAATTGAAGTTACCACTACATAAACAGACTTATGCACAATTTTTTTATTTTTTTTGTGCCACTTAATATATATGTAAAGTGATCATCCATAAAACAAATATTTTTAAATATTTTGATGATCACTTTCAAAAAATGTTTTTGCATAAATAATGATGATTTTAAATCAGTTTTTATGCAATTTTTAATTATTAAAATTCACATTTATGCATCAACTTTTCACCTTCCCTCAATCTCTATTATGGACACCAACCACACTTTAACGTATTAAATGGTTATTTTGTTTGTTTTTGTGTTTTATTTTAATATGTTTATCGAGAACATTTTAATTTTTTTTAATAATATTTAAGAAATTACGAAAATTTTGGGGAAATTTTATTTGAATTTAACTGAGGACATAAAGTAATTGTTAAACAATTTAGGTATTTCCTGAAGACAAAAAGTCTGTTTGGGGTTAACAGTAGAGCTCTAATTATGAATTAAGCTTCGATTTCTTAACGAATGTGGCAGATTGCTAGGTTGTTTTGTATGTATATTATGTTTGATTTACAATTAGGGCTGGGGTTTTAGAGTCGGGCCGACCGAGTCTTTTTCGGGCCAAAATTCAATGCCCGATCGATCTTCCGGACCGGGCCCCAACCTATTTACAATGCCCTAAAAGTCTGATACACATTAAAATTGTACAAAAAAATAAAGTTTGGTTTTTCTGAGATTTAATATAATAAAAATTTTTTTATTCATTTATTGGTTTCCATTTAAATCTCTTTTCAATTTTATAAAGTCTAAAACATTTCAACGATAAAAATGAGAAAAAGAGTATGTGTATGTAGTATATACTTGACAAAAGAATGTACCTTGAATAAATGAATGAAATGATTCATTCAATTCATTCACATTTTTTATTCTCCTTTCGAAACCATTCATCCGTCACAATATTTGAAAGGGAAATTAACGCTTCGATCTGATTAAATAGATTTTTAATAGAAAAATCGGCATTTTTTTGCAACAAATTTGGTTTTTTAAGACGGAAATTTTACAATTATGGTGAGTAAAAATTATTTTTAAATAAAAATTATTAATGGATGGTCGTTTAGATTCGGGTATTTCCTTTAATATTTTCGACATTAAATTAATAAGGGAATTTTGGAACTAAATGGTTAATGTTCAAAATTAAGTTTCGTACCTTTATCCAATTAAAATCTTCGGAATTATAGGATATGGCAATTTTTGCCTTTCTTTAAAAATTAGTGCTGAAGGTTTTGTGAAAATAAGTTACCGTTTTTATTTTAAATAAGGCTTATCCAATTGAATGACAGGACCTATTTTGGGGAATAAATACGGTATTTGGTGTAATTAAATGAGCTGATCTTGAATATGTGCTTATTAAATTTAGTTAAAATACATCGCTATATTCTGTCAATTATTTACACCAAAATTTTGATTTTTAGTTTAATTTCCAGATTCCTTACCCAAATTAATTTTTGAATAAAGATTTTCTCAAATTTAAGCCTTCTGTTCCTCACTGGCAAAAACGAAATGCTGCAGCTGGAGTGGAGGATATGGTTTTACTTCGACAATTAAATGATGATGCTATTGTTGAGAATTTACGTAAAAGGCTGGCTGCTCGTTTAATTTTTGTAGGAATTTTATAAATTTAATTATTATTTTTTTATATTTAAAGACATATATTGGACCTGTACTTGTTAGTGTTAATCCTTTTGCGGATGTACAAAAATTTGGGGAAGCGGAAATGGAACAATATCAAGGTAGGCTAAGAGAATTTAAAAAGAGATTTAATTTTCTTTGAAATCCCCCTTGGAAATTTATTTTTTTTTATTTTTTAGGCGCAGCCCAATATGAAAATCCTCCACACATTTTTTCATTAGCCGACTCAATGTTTCGCAACCTCATGATTGACCGTGAACGTCAATGTGTAATAATTTCAGGCGAAAGTGGGGCTGGTAAAACTGTTGCTGCCAAACATATTGTAAAATTAAATATTTTTTTACAAAAACTGAAATTTTTATTTAGATGTCTTATTTAGCTCATTCGTCTGGTGGTGGTCAACGTGTACAGGGCCTAAAAGAGACTATATTAAAGACAAATCCTTTGTTAGAAGCATTTGGGAATGCTGCGACTATGCGAAATTGGAATTCTAGCAGGTTGGAGGGGTTTTTTTGAAGATTTATAAATAAAATATTAGAACCTGTGATAGTTGAACTAAAATTTTTCTTTAAATAATACATACTTTTTAAAATCCTCCATTTATTAATTTTTAAAATTTCCATTCACAGATTTGGTAAATATGTCGAAATAGTCTTTAGTCTTGGTGGAGAACCTTTGGGTGGTCGAATTTCTTCATTTTTATTAGAAAAATCTCGAGTTGCTCAAACAGCAAGAGGAGAAAGAAATTTTCACATTTTTTACCAATTAATTGAGGGAGCCGATAAAGAATTGAGTAAAGCATTTGGATTGGCTAAAGCAGCAAATTATAATTATTTAAATTGTTCTGATTGTTATGAAGCAGAAAATACAAATGATGGACGGTCTTTTGTTGAAACTAAAGTAAAATTTATAAAATTTATTTTTTGACTTGAACAATATTTTTTAATCACATTGCTTTCCTTCTATTAATTTATAAAAGTAATTTTTAAGGATGCAATGACTGCAATAGGATTAGACGAAAATATACAACGACAATGTTTGTCTGTTGTGGCTGCTACACTTCATATTGGAAATATTAATTTTGTGGAGTCTGATGGAGATGGATTTGCTACTATTGCTGATGAACAATGTTTTTATTTTAAAAATTATTTTATACAAAATTTTTTTAGTTTTGCAATTTCCTGCATTTCTTTTGGGAATAACCCCTGAAGCGATTAAAGTTAATTTTAATTTTTAAAATTATAAAAATTAATTTTTAGGAGAATTTAACTCGTCGGCAACTCCAATCTAAATGGGGTAAAAATATTGAGCAAGTGGAGGTTAGGCACAACAAAGAACAAGTAAAATATTAAATATAAATTTATTTTTTTAATTTTAATTTAAGGCAGCATATACCAGAAATGCTTGGGCTAAAGCTCTTTACTCAAAACTTTTTGAATTTTTGGGTTTTCTTTAAAATTTAATTTTAATTAGTTAATTTAGTTACTTCTGTCAATCGAGCATTAAATGTGGATGATCGTCGACATTCTTTAGATTTATCAATTGGTGTGTTGGATATTTACGGATTTGAAGTTTTTGAATGGAATGGATTTGAACAATTTTGGTTTTTGTTTTTAAGTTAAAATATTTTTTAAAATTATCTTTTAGCATTAATTTTGTGAATGAAAAACTCCAACAAATTTTTATTGAATTAACTTTAAAAGCAGAACAAGAAGAATATATGGCTGAAGGGATTCAATGGACAACTGTCGAATTCTTTAATAACAAAATTGTTTGTGATTTAATTGAAGCAAAGAGGCCACCAGGTTTTTTAAAATATTTCGTGATAACAAAAGAAGTTTTTAATTTTTAAGGTATTATGCCAATTCTTGACGATGTTTGTGCCCAAATCCACGGACAGAGTGACGGCGTTGACATTTTAATGTTAAACAAATTATCAAAACAATTACTTGGACACGAACATTTCCGTCCTGGATCTGATAACTTTTTAGTTCGTCATTATGCCGGTGAAGTACTTTATCAAGTTGAAGGTTTCTGTGATAGAAATCGAGATATTCTACATTCTGATTTGGTTCATTTAATGTTGGGAAGTAAAAAGTTTGTGAAATTTATTTGATAAATAAAAATATTTTATTTCAGTTCATTTATGCGTCAATTATTTGAGGGATGTATTCCATCAGATCCAAATAAAAAGCCAACTAGTGCTTCTTCAAAAATTCGAGTAATTTATTTTTAAGTTTATTAAATTTATTTTTTTAGAGTCAAGCCAATCATTTAATGGAATCTTTAATGTGTTGTGTGCCTCATTATGTTCGTTGTATTAAACCAAATGAAAGAAAACGAGCGCTTGATTTTGATGAAGAAAGGTGGTTTTTTTATAATTTTTATTTTTGGAAAGAAGTATTTGTGATTTTCCTTTATCACCAAACTGTCACCAAAAATATCGCAATTATTTTTATACCATCGTGAGAGAAGGGTCGATTTCCTTTGCCAGGTTTTTTGGCCCTACCCACAAATCGAAAGGTTATGGGGCTTCAAAGTTTTTGACTTTTGGGCGATTGATTGCCTTTACGATATGGTTACTTATATGAATCTAACTTGGTTTTGAATCTTATAACTATAAAGTTTACAATAAGAAACATTGCATAATATTCCTGAATATAATCACAAATTTTAATTAATTTTTAAGAGTTTTGCATCAAGTCCGCTATCTAGGTCTTCGAGAGAATATTCGCGTTCGTCGGGCTGGTTTTGCCTATCGTCGACTTTTTGAGCGTTTTATTTGGAGATATTCAATAATTTGTAAAGGAAGTGAAAATAAATTAAGAAAGTATTTTTCTTGTTAAATTTAAAATTATATAATTCTTTTAAAAAACAGTAAAGATCCTCGTCATGATTGTGAAATTATTTGTGAAACTGCACAAATTTCTCCTGAAGAATTTCGACTTGGAAACACAAAAATATTTATTAGAAGTCCAGAATCTTTATTTCTTTTGGAAGAAGCGAGGGAAAGACGTTTTGATGCTTTTGCTAGAATTATTCAAAGAATATTTAAAAGATTTGCTGCAAAAAGGAATTTGAGGAAACAAAAAGTAAATTTAATTTTTTTTTGAAAAATGAGACTTTTTTAGTGGTTATTTAAAAATTTATTTTTAAATTTAGGACGAAGCAAGTGAACTTTACAGAGGTTTAAAAGAAAGAAATCGCCATTCATTGGAACGTCGCTTTGTTGCTGGTAATTTAAAGTAAATATTATAAATTTGAAATAAAATTCTTTTTAAAGATTATATCGGTCTAGACCACCATCCAGGACTTCAAGCAATTGTTGGGGGAAGACGTGAACGTATTTTCTTTGCTGCAAGTGTTACTAAATATGATAGACGTTTTAGAGTTAATTTGGGATTTCTTTTTTTTATTTTTTAAAAATTAATTTAGCCAACAAGGACAGACCTTTTATTGACTACAAAAGCAATTTTCCTTGTTGGCCGTGAGGCTTTAAAGGAAGGAACAAATACTGGAAAAATGGTAGAATCACTTAAAAGGTGAAGGAAAAAATACTTATAGTACAATCGGACCTCGCAACTATAAGAATATATCCTCGGGACTGGAAAAAGTTTTTTACTTTTGTCACGTATTTTAGCGTTTTTTTCAACCTATTTAGGTACTTATGTTTAAGTTTTTACAACCTAAAAATCCTAGTCCTAATTATAATCCATTATTGAGAGCATCTATTAGCAGGTCTTTTCTCCTAGTCATTGTTCAATATAATTTAAAAATTTTATATGGGAGGTCAACCTTTATAAAATAAAAATTTTTAATTTAGAAAAATTCCTTTTGCCTCATTAAATGCTGTTTTGGTTAGTTCATTTCAAGATGATTTTTTATTGTTAGTTGTTACTTCTGAATATTCAAGTCTTTTGGAGACACCTTTAAAAACTGAATTTTTGGCTGCTTTAAAGTTATTTGAATTAAATTAAATTCAAAAATTATTTTAATCTTTTTCAGTAAACGTTTAAAAGAAAATTTTCGTCAATCTTCTCTTCCATTACAAATTACTGATAAATTTATTATTCAATTAAAACAATTACGTCCAGCAATGTTACCCAATGCTTTCCCAAAAGCTGCTATTTCTTTATTTACTGGAGGAAATGAAAGAATTGTTGAATTTAGAAAAGAAAAGTTTAGAAAATAAAATTTTAAAAATAATTTAAAAAAATTTAATTATTTTTAGGAGACACAACAACAAGGTCGTCGAACTATTTTGGTTCCAAATGGAAAAATACTTAATATTTTGGTTATTGATGGATTATCTCCAAATAGTAGTGAGCTTTTTAATAAATTGAATTTAAAAAAGTTTTTCTTTAAAGAGCCATCTAGTAATTACAAAATTTCATCAAACGGAATTTCTAATCAAAAAAACAATTTAAATAAACAACAACAGCAACATTTAATTTCTAACAAAAATAATATTTCAAATCAACAAATAAAACAAAAAGCAGCAGCCCCTCCACCACTTAAACCAAAACCGATGGTATTAAATTAAAATTTAGAGAAATTTCACTTAATTAAAATCACTAAAGTGCTTTTAAATAATAAAAATATTTCATTGTAATGGGCTTGTTAGTACATTAAATTAAACACCAAACCCCACACATAATTTTAATAACCCCCGTTTCGAAGCAAATAAGAAAGAACGTTGATTAATATCTTCCTCTTCAGGTAAAGCCAATAACTTCAAATCCCGTTCTTCGAGCTATATATCCTTATGAAGCTCAGGATATTGATGAACTTTCTTTCACAAAGGACCAATTAATTGAATTAATCGAAAAGGATGAGTCTGGTTGGTGGACAGGTCGATTGATGGTTCAAGGAGGGAAAACTGGTCTTTTACCAGCAAATTATGTTGAGGAAGTTAAATTATAAAGAGAGGATTTAATTAAGAGAAAATTAAATTTAATAATTACTTTTTATGTTAAAAAAAGACTCATATTTTTCCTGTGATTTTAATTTTTTTTGACCCAAAATATTTTTTTCTTTTATTGCCTTTATTTTTTAAAATAATTTTCACTTAACAATTCTATGCTCATTTTATTCTTTTTTTTAAATTTTTATAAAACTTTAATCATTTTTACATTGAATTTAAAAATAAAATTCCTAAAGTGATTGACCCAAATTCTTACATAATTTCATTTACACACAAGTTGCTTTTACTTGCATAATCATAAATTAAAATTAGGTAATATATTTTCTTGAATATTCTCCGCAAAAATCAATTTTTAGTTACGTTGCCCTTTTGTATTCTTAAAAAGCCCTTTACCATTAATTAAAATAATTATTTTTAATTTACAGTCCAAAATGACTGCTACAAAAATTTTAAAAAATCAAAAAGGCGAAGGAGGCCCAAAAGTTTTATTGAATTCTGGTCACCTAATTCCATTAATTGGATTAGGTACTTATAAAATTGTTGACCAAACACTGATGGATTCTTCTGTGGATGCTGCCCTCAAATGTGGCTATAGATTCTTTGATACTGCAAAATTGTATCAAAATGAGAAGCAGCTGGGCAACAGCCTTGAAGTATGGAAAGTTTTCTTTATGATAAGCGAGGAAGTCCCAAAATCGTTGAAAAATATTTTCCATGATTTGGCGATTCCTAACGGGAGCTTTAAAAAATTATTCAGATTTAGATATTTTTTGTAGTCAAAATCATTTATTTACTAGCATCTGACTTGTCAATAAATAACTTTTATTTTCTCAGAAATTACTTCCAAAATATGGATTAAATCGTGAAGATGTATTTCTTCTAACCAAATTTTCTCCCTTCCCTGCTGAAAAAGCTAGTGAGGAAGTGCCAAAATTAATTGAAGAATCATTGGAAAATTTAAAAACAAAGTTTTTCTATTCAATTTTAAAGAGTATTTTTAATTAAAGTTATATTGATTTGGTATTAATTCATTGTCCTAAACCTGATGAAAATAAAAATGAAGACAAAGAAGGGAATAGTGCTAGTCGAAAAATAAATTGGCAGGCACTTGAAAATCTTTCTGGTTTTTTTAAAAATTAAATAAAAAATGAGAATTTTTAGAAGAAAAAGTACATTCAATTGGGGTGTCTAATTATGAAGTTTACCATTTGGAAGAAATGAATAAATATTTAAATAAAAAACCGGCAGTTAATCAAATCGAATTTCATCCTCATTTTCGAAGAAATGAAATTAGAGAATTTTGTAAAAATGAGGGAATTCATTTACAAGTTTTTTTGAAGATAATTACAAAGAAAAATTTTTAAGGCATTCTCTCCAATGGCCAGACAACAACCAGAATTATTAAATGATCCTGTGGTGAAGAGAATAACGGAGGAACACAAAACAACTCCTCAAGTTAAAATAATATTTTTTTTGTAAATTATATTTTAAATTGCAGAAAGTGCTGTTATCTTTTGCTATTTCACAAGGTCTGAAAAATACCTCGCTAATTTTCTTCTCAAATAAAGAAAAAAAATATTCACAAATTATTTTAAATATTATTTTTAATTACTTTTTTAAGGAATTGGAGTTGTACCAAAATCATCAAACCCAGAATGGATTTGTTCTAATTTTGACTCGTTGGATTTAAAATTAACCGTTAAAGATTTGGATGAATTAAATAATATTCCAATTAATAAAAACTATATTCGCCCAACACCTTGGCTGGTTCTTTAAATTTTCTCTAAAAATATTTATTTTTATTAATTATTTAAAATTTTTGCGACTTAAAATTGTGAATTAAAATTTAAAAAAATCACTAACTTTTAGTAAAATTAATTTTATATAAATTCTAAATAAAAAAAGAGAGGTGTAAATATATTTGGAATTTTCTAAAAGATATTAATTGATAAAAGAATTTTGAGGAAGAATATCCTAATTAATTTCTAAATATACAAACAAAACAAAAAAAAGGAATGTGAAGGGGGAGGGGAAGAATTAAAGATTTAAAAAATAATAAAAATTGTTTTAAAAAATATATTAAAAAATATTTAGTAGATAAAATATGTATAAGTAAGATGGGGGGGGGGGAGTGAGTAGGGGAGGCCAACATACAACATCTAACGTCTTTCGATCATGCATTTATACTAAAAAAGATAGATGCAAATGTTACATAGATTACAATTTAATTCCCCTTATGTTTGTTCCTTACAAAATTAAAAAAATTATTTCCACATCGAGAACAAGTGTGGTATGTTGGTGGAAAGACAAATACAATTATTAAAAAATGGAAGGTAATTTAAGAGCTTTAATAAAATCCAAGTGACCGCTTCGAAAAAAAATTTCAATTTTACAAAGTTACCAACCTACTTACATCAAAGTTTTGTAAATCAGGAGTGCATAGTTAAAGAACTAAATCTATGGCTAATTGTTTGCCAGCTCAATTCTGATGTATTTATGCCTTGAATACCCGTTAGGCAAGGCCAATGCTTTTTATGAACAGCAATTACCTAAAAAATAAATTTCAGAAAATAAAAAATGTCCTTTTCTTTTACTTTTTGAATGGTTTCCTGTGCTGATTGATTTGGAATTTGTTCAAGCGTTTCACTACTTAATTGGCCTACAAAATCAGCAGCAGCACTTTCAGTTGAGCAAAGAGCCTTAATAAATAAATAAATTTAAAATAAATTATTATTTTTTACTTTAACACATTCCTCCGCTGCATCACAGATTGAAGAAAGATCATAACCGCCCTCTAATGCTAAAACTACACGTCCATTAGCAAATTGGCGTAGAGTACGAGTTAAATAGCCAAACAATTTTGGTGTTAAATTGTATCTATAATTCAAAAAAGGATTTATAATGATCTAATTAAATGCAAACCCTCCAAGAGCAGCTGCATGACCTTTTGTAGCATCAAAACCGGCGGATACTAAAACAAATTCTGGCTTAAACGCATCCAGAAGAGGAAGAACAAGTACACGCCAAGCAGCACTTAATTAGAATCAAGAATTATTAATTCTAAAATCATCTAAAATCACTAACAGATATTCAGCATCGCCCATAATATCACCACTAAATGGAATATTGACAGTAGTTCCCTTGCCTGCTCCAATTCCGATTTCTGTAACTGCCCCAGTACCTAAAAATAATTTTTATAAAACTAAAAAATAATTATAAAAATACCAGGAAAGAAATTTCCATTGTCATGTCGATGCAAACTCAGATATAAACAATTTGGATCGGACTCAAAACAAAGTTGTGTGCCATTTCCATGGTGAACGTCCCAATCAATGATTGCAATACGCGGAGGAGAAAGTGAGGGACCATTACTAAAACGCTGTTGGAGGTAACGAGCAGCAATTGCAACCTTTTTTAATTAAAATTAAGAAATTAATCAAATTAAAATCTCATACATTATTAAAAAAGCAGAATCCCATTGCCTGTTCCTTTTCTGCGTGATGACCAGGAGGTCGAATACAAGCAAAACCATTTTTAAGTTTACCTTCCATTACTTGACAACATAATTCAATAAGAGCTCCAACAGCCATTTTTGCAGCGGTCTGTGTACTGGCATCGTTAAAATAAGTATCAGAATCTACGCCAATACCACCACATGGCAACTTAAATAAATTATTTTGAGAAAAAAATAGGCAAAGATATTTACCTGTACAAAACTTTTAAGTGGCAACTCTGCAGGATCCAATTTAAGACAAGCAGTGGGAGAAATCGCAAAGAATGTAACATAAGTAGGTGAATGAACAAGACGAAGTACCTCTAGAGGTGCTTTTCGAATACTAAAAAATTTTAAGGAAACAAATGAAATTTTTAAAATGAAAAAACTTACTTAACTCTCTCACAGGCAGATACAAGTCCTGATTCGATCAGTCTTGACCAAATGGACTGAACACGACCACCATGCTTTAATTATGGGAATTGAATGAAAAATATATACCGAAAATGATTAAGTTAAAGCTACTTAAGACAAACAAACTTTGATTTTATAATGATTATAGCAGTCTCATTTATTTGTAAAATTACCTCAACATGATTTCCATTTTCTGCGCAAAGACACTGGTGCTTATACATTGCTTGATCATAAGCAAGTCCTAAAGTTTTAATTTAAACAATTTTTAATTCGACGAAAATAACCAAACCAGTTTTTAGGTTTTGGCCAACTATATTCATCAAAGCATTAGAATTAGCATCAGTTGTTTCAGCACTAACTCCTTTCTGTGACGCTATTGGTCCTAGGCTGCTTGTAAAGTCCATAAGAGTATCATCCTCCGGTTCTTCGCGGACAAGTGACTTGCGTCGAAGTACCAGATCTCGTAATTGTTGCTTCAAAAGAGAAGGATATCCTCCAAGTGAAGGCATTTGAGGTGCAGGCGCAGCTAGAGTACGGTTATCAAAGCGAACTTGGCGCTGTTGTTGTTGTTGAATTGGTGTTGAATTAAATGCTAAAAAAATTTAGAGTTAAATTTAAATAAAATTAAAGACCTGAACTAGAAGATGAAGCATTAGAATCTCCAGTGCCTAAGAGAGTATGTGCCCCTCCACCTAAACCATAAGCTCCAGCTCCACTATTTTCCATCAATATTGAATTGGTTGTTGGAGTAATTCCACCAGCACAACCTCCAGCTCCGCTTTTTAGAAGAGAGGGCATTGAAAGGAAATGATGCATTAATGTATTTTGTAGAGAGACAAGTCCATTAAGCATATCCTGTTGTTGCTGATTAGAAGTTCCGTTAGAATTCATTCCTTCTTCAACGCTAGTTTTGTGAATAGCATCGACTAAATTTTTATAATAAATTGGCTTTCAAAAAAAAACAAGTTTCTAACCTTTACCATGACCAGCAGCACCAAAGGAGGCAGTAATTGGTAAATTTGGTAAAGAAGGTGAAGGAACCATCATTAAATTTGAAGCAGCATCTAAATGGAAGGAATGAGGAGCATTGGTTGTTGTTGGCGTAGCAACATTTCCTCCTCCACCAGCCGCAGCTAAAGCCGCTGCTTGTTGCAAAAGTAAAGAAGCAGCTGCTGGATCTATACCTGAAGAAGAGGTATTTGTTGAAGCAGAAGCGCCAGCAGAAGAATCACCATTCAACTCGTTATCTGGCCTAGAAATTAAAAAAATAAAAAGAAAAAACAAAAATTTAAACCTTTGTTGTAGTGCATTATGTGAAGGAAATACAATAGCTTGTGGAGGTGGAACATTAGAAGGAATAGTGGTTTGCTGATGTGGACTTGAACCTTTATTCAAAAGTCGTGCTCTAATGCGCATTTTGAGGTTAGGCTCGCTGTTCACTTTTCGTAATTGAAATTCTGCAGCAGAAAGAGAAGAGAAATTTGGAACATCTGAGGAATCCCCAGATGCGTAATCATTTGAAGGACGTGAAGGATGAGTTGGATGTGGATATGGCAAAAATCTGAATTTAAGAAGACTATTAGACATTCCTTTTTAACAAGTGAAACCTTTGATCGACATGTGAAGTATTAACTAGTGTAACAGGAATTGAAGTTGTATCACTTCCGCTAGGCAAATTTGATTCTGAAGTTGCACCAATTGCTCGAGACGTCCAATTAGGCGCTACTCCATTAAAAGAGGAAGAAGAGGTGGTAGCAGCAGCAGCTATATTTGAAGAGGAACCAGTAGAGCTGGAGGTATGTAATCGCTGTCTCTGCTTTTTGATTGCAATCCTAAAAGTTTAATTTGTGAGAAATCCGCAAGATTTATCCGCAAATATTTAAATTTGCAGATTTTTACATTAAAATACATACATAGACTTCAACCGGTCTCTTGTATGTTGAGAAATTGTTTGGCCAGACCCACTGAACGTTCGACGATTTCGAGCTGTAGCAGCAACTGTGTTGGTGCTCACATGTTCTTTATTTATTGCCAACGGGACAGAATTACAGGAAGTTGGCTGTTGTTGAGGATGAATTTTTGGTGATTGTTGTTGTTGGGTTGCTGCGACAACAGCAGCAGCTGCGGCCGCACAAATTTTTTGTCGATCAGTTTTAACGTCCAATTCATCGTTGGACAGATCAGTACTTGATTGTTGTTGTTGTTGAGAGAGTGCTGGAGTTTGTTGTTGCTTTAAATATAAATTTTATTGAAAATAAATCTCAAAACCTGTTGTTGCTGTAAAACAACCATTGCAGCAGCCGCAGGGAGTGCAGACTGCAACAACTGTAAATTGAGCAGATAATCCTGTTGGGCTAAAGTTTGGGTATGCTGGAATTGTGCAAGGAGTTCAGCATGTCGACGTTGATAAAACTTCAAGAAATAAAAATTTTTGAAGGAAAAATATTTTAAAAAATGGTGACAGGAAAAGTAGACAAAATTTAAAGAAAACCTCTTGTAGCATTGCCAACCGTTCATCAATTGGAACACCATCAGTAACAGGCAATACTGGATCTTGTTGTAATTGTGAAGAATCATTTGTAGAACTTGAAGCTGAAGAATTATTTTCAATTGTTGTTGTAGTTGGAGGATTTTGTTCATCCATTTTTATTGTTGAAGAAGAAATAAATAAATAATATTTTTCTTTTTCAATTAAAAAATCTTTTTTTCTCTTCACTTTAAACGGACAATAATAAAAAGAATAAATATAAATGTATACAACAAATAAACATTTTTCTGTTGAAAGGCAAAAGAATTAAAATAAATATATAAAGGAGAAATAAAAGTAAACGAATCAATATTTACAATTTTTTTTAGTTTTAATTATTTTATAAAAATAAAAAAAATTTTTTTGGAGGGGGGGGGGGGAGGAGAAGAAGAAGAATTTTTGGGGGAGAGAGAAAAAAAGAAAAAAAATTTGGGGGGAGAAAAGGAAGAAAAAGTTTTTTGGGGGAAGGGGAGAGAAAAAGTTTTTTTGACGAATCGGTGTCTAATTTGCCTTTAAAGAACACTTCCTGTTTAAATGATAAGAAGAGAAGAGAAGGAAATATTTTTTGGAAGGAAGGAAAAGAGAAAATAAAAAAAAAGTTTATTTAATTACGCAAATTATTTTTAAAAAAAGTTTGGAATTTTTATTTTAGAAAAAAACTAAAAATAATATACCTCCTAATTTGTTGTTTAACAAATTTATTCGTCACTAAAATGTGAATAATTTAAAATGTCATTTTTAGAGAGACTGGTTTGTTGCATTGTTTTATTTTAAATTTTTAGTTGTACATATTTACATATTTAGGGCCCTTTTTTGATTAAAAATGTGAAGAAAAAACAAAAAAAAATAGAATAATAAAAAGGAGGATATCTTCATTTAAAAGAATTTAGGGTTTAATTAAAGAATGGACAAACAAAAAATAAATTTTTGAAAGTAAAAATTATATTAGAAAATCGGTAAAATCTTTTAACAAGATTTGCTTTAAAAATGTTGAAAAAAAATAAATTAGAAGAGAAAGAGAGAATTTGTGAATGTTTGCAATAAAACTAAAAATAAATATAATAATTTTTAACGTAAATATTTTTGTTAAAACTTTTTTTCTTCACGTAAAAATATCACAAGCATGGACAACCCAAACAAAACGAACACTTGTTTTTGGAGAAAGTGAAAAATAAATGGAGAGAGGGAGGAAGGGGAAGGGAGGGGAGATTTAAAAACTTCGAGTTTTTCTCAAGCCTTTCTTACTTCATCATTAGACTTTTATCTGTTTTTCTTCTTCTGCTTTAGCTAAAAAAGGGCGAGTTAGCGGTTGGTGGTGGTATTGCTGCCAGCGGCGAATTTACCGATGAAAGAAGCAAACGAAAACGACGACGTTTTTCAATAAAGGGAGGGAGAATATATGCTTCGAAGCTGTGGATTAAATGTGGAAAGAAAAGGAGAAGAAATGGGGGAATGGGTAGTTAGTTAGTTGAGGCTAAAAATAGAAACACTAGTGGCGGCTGGCTATAACAAACAAACACGGTAGAAAGGAGTGAGAGGGAATAGAAAGTGGATATATGTAGATAGAGTTGTTATATTTAGTTGATAAATAGGAAAGACAAAAATAATATAGAAGAAATAACGTTCGAGAGTCCGCTGAAATTTTTACGACTATCTAACATGGAAAAATGTCTGGATGGAAAATTGAAACTAAATAGGTATTAAAATTCTATCTAAATTACAGTATTTTTTGATTTTGTTAAAATTTTTCGGCCAAATAAATCAAAACACGAAAGCTGAAAAATTTCGGATTTTCAGAAAATAAGAAATTTTTAATATTTTAAAATTCTGATCCTAAATATTTGTAGATTATTTTTTATTTTTATTTGTTTTTAGCTTTTTCCGATAAACTAGAACAATTTTGGGACATTAAATGTAAAAAAAGATATACCTATAGCAAAAATAGCTCAAGAGTATATTCTCGAATAACTTTACTTATTTCTTTCCCTCTCTTTTTTATTTTTTTTTCTCTAACTTTCATTTATTTTAAAATATCAGTCGATTCACCTCAATTCTTCCGCTTTTTTGTTAGCACAAAGGTTCTAAAAATGGCCGAAATTCTTCCGAAAATAAATAGAAAAAGAGGTTTTTTTAAAAAATAAATTATTTAAAAGATTCTTTTTAGTGATTTTATTGTTATAGACTAAAAATAGGGTTAGGTAGTGAATTAATGAATAAAAGAAAAGATTTAAAAAAGTGTTAAAATTAGAAAAAAAAGAAATCAAATGGTTAGTAAATGAACAAAGGTTATAATAGGTATTTAGACTATTTTTAAAGTTTTATTCTTCAATAATCCATCAATTGGAGTAAAAGTGCCCGAAGAAGACGAGCCTTTAAAAATAAAATTTGAAATGATGGGGAGAAAGGTGTAATCCGAATGGAGAATAAATTTTAGGATTGCGATAAGGGAAATTAGAAGACTTTTTTGTATCTTTGGGATATAGGGGAAGTGTTATTTAAAATAAATTTAAAAAATCAAAAAATTACTTCGTGGCTAACCATCCTGACAATTTCTCCAGGCCGAACAGCAAAAAGATTTGCCTCAGTTGGTATTTCGTGTCCATGAGCTTTTAAATAGAAAAATAATTTTAATTAAAAATATTTATTTATTTTACCTTCACAAGCCTCCAAAAATTGAAGACATTCAATTAAAACTTGGAAAAAATTTTTTGAAAAAAATTTCAAAAAATAGAAAAACCATCATCGCGTATTACAATAACACATTTAGCAATATTTTCCATCAGTGAGGCTAAACCTAAATTAAAAAAATATTTTTAAAAATTATTTAGAAAATGTCGAAATGTAAGATTAGGGGATACAAAAATTTAAAATTCTCAAAAAATAATTTTTTTAAACATTTTTTCATTAAATTTAAGTAACCCACTTTAATTAAAAAATAATTTTTTTACATCTTTTGCTGTAAAACCAAGTATCAACACCCAATTTTCGTTCACAAGGTTCTAATGCTCTAACAATCCGGGAAATTCCAAATCTTTAAATTAAAAAAAATTATTTAATTAAATATTAATTATTAACTCGTAATTGCTTTTAGCACAGTAGAGGGTTCCAATAACTAAATTGTAAAAATAAAAATATTAAAAAATTTGAATATATTTTTAATTAAAAAAAACTTATAATTATTGAAAGATGAAAGGATTTCTTGTCAGTATTCACATTTTCTTCTCTTTCAACCCTTTTCATAATTTCTTCTGCTTCTTCATTACTATCTTTTTTTTTAATTTAATTAAAATTTAATTTAAAAATTAATTTATATTTACTTGTCATTATATAACAAACACATAAATTAGCCAAAACAATAGCAGAAACTTCCAACATCTTTTTTGTAAAAATAAATTATTTGTTTTTATTTTTCTTATTTTTTACCTTATCAAAATTGGCACGTACCAATGGGGCATAACAATCACTGAAAATAAGAAGTTCCCTAAATATCCATTCAGAATCCCAGGATTTTTTTAAAAATACTACTTGAATATAAAGATAAAGTTATAAATATACCCATAGTATTTTTTAATTACCAAAATTATATTCTAAAAAAGTGACAGAAATTCTCTCAACGAAATTAAAGTTTAAAAAGTTTTCTAGAGTCATTTGAAAATACCCCTCTCTCCCCCTTCAAAAATCAGAACTAACCCCTAATTTTTAGCCATTCTCTCTTCCAAAATATAAATTATTTAAATTAACTACCTAGCTTCTTTAAATTTTTCTTGCATAAACAAAACATGTGCCAAATTTAATTTCCAAATATCATTTCCACTACAAAATTCGGCCGAACGCCTAAAAAGTTTTTCTATCAACGACCATTGTGATTTATCCCAAAGCAATTTTGCTTGAGATAAAAGGGAGGGTAAAAATTCTTCCATTGTTTGTTCAACACTATCTATTGCCTGTTGTAATGAACGAACATCTAAATTTGTTTTTGTTGTTGTTACTCCATCATTTTCACGAATTTCCTTTAGAAAAGTAAAATAAAAGATGGAAAAAGCATCATTTTAAACAAAAAATTCTTTCAGAATTTTTTGTTTAAAAATCTATCTATTCTCGTTTAATTTAATATTTTAAAGACTTATCAAAGATATTTTTAAAAATACCTGTAAATGCTGATGTCTTTTACGTAATTCAACAAGTTTTGAATTTGAAAGAGAATCAAACTTTGTATAAGCATCTGATTCAGAAGACTATAAAAAATTTAAAAAAATGTTTTTTTAAATAAATTACTTGAAGTGTTATTAAAGCATCCAAATAATCAAATTGATACTTAAAAAGTAACTTTAAAAAATTTTTTTTGAACAAAAAGTACTTGTGAAAGCATTTTATATGTAAGATGTGCTAAAAATAAATTAATTTTTAATTTATAAAAATGATTATTTTCACCATTTTCTGCAAGTACATCTGCTGCCAAATCGTAATATTCATATCTGAAGAAAAACTTTAAAAAATGGAAGAAAAATAGGAATCAAATGGTCACTTTTAATTTTTGCTCAATTTTTGTTTAATTTTCCAAATAACTTTTTTTATTGAGAAAGAAATCTTAATTTCCAAGTCATTTGGTCAGAATAGGGTTAAAACTTTCCGTTTAAAATTAATTTTAGCCATTTCTAATATTACCAAATTATTTATAAATTAAAATTTACTTGCAATATAACAACAATAAATTAGCAAAAGTTTCAGGTGGAAAGGGATTATGGCCAAGCAAATATTGAAGTTTAGAAAAACTGTCAGCCAAATTAGTTTCTACACCAATTAATGCCTAAAATAAATAATTGGGGGATAGAAATGTAAAATCAATTTACTTGATTGTGTAAAGTAACAGGGTCAAGTTCTTCTTCAGCTCTTGCAGGCATATCTAACAAAGCTTCTGCTGCTGCATCCACTTAAAATTGACAAAAAATTGCTTTTAAACTAAAAATATGGGGAAAATGTTTTTATTAATAAATTTCATCTAATTTATGAGAGAGAGAATAGCCAAGCACTCAAAACAAGGATTTATATAAGGAAATAGCAGTGTCTCGGTAAAATATTCTCCTATTTCTTCACAGACAACCTAGTCTTTTAATTAACGCTTAATTAAAGAAGAAAGCCCACTCCAATTATTTTTTCTTTTACCATTTTTCATTTGATATTCAATCGCGAATTTAAGATTACAAGCTTCTATAACAGCACTTTCATTTAATTGAAATGTGTTGCCAACAGAACGAAGTTGTGCCCCTCCATTAGCTTCTTCTGCTGCCATTCCAATTCCTAATTCTGAAAATTTTTTTAAACTTATTTAATTAAATTAAAAAAAAACCAGGATGATCCTTTACAGCTCTGTCAATAATTTCAGAAATCTATCAAATTAAAAAAAATTTTTTTATGAAAATAATTTTTCAGTATAACTAAAAGGACGTATTTTGGAATATATGTAGAGAGTTTTAATTTTTATAAATTAATTTGAATAATTTTTTATTGAGATTTTAGATAGACAAAAACTTAATTTTCATTAAAATTAAAAAAACTTTCACTAAATTTGTTAAACTTACCATACTCAAAGCTTGTGGAAAATTTCTCATTTGATAGTGACAAAGAGCAATTGAATAGGTTAAATGATTCTAAAAATTAGAAAAAAATTATTTTATAATTAGAATTAATTTACTTGATATCCAGAAGTATCATCAACATTTTGTTGTTCAGTTGCAACCATAAAACGTTTAAGTGCTTCAGCAGGCTTTCCTTCCTAAAAATTTTAATTATTTTTTTGGAAAATTTGGGTGTTAAAAAATGAGGGGATTATTTTAAAATAAAAATGAGAAAATTGAAGGGAAAATAAAAAATAAATTCCATTTTATTTAAACAAACAAGAAGATCTTTTAATCTATCCAATATATACCTATTATAAAGAGAATATACATAATTCTAGTTTTATAAAATATTTTTTTAAAAAAACCTTTAAATCCAAACATGCCAAATTTACCTAAACATATCAAAATTAAAAACAACTAAAAATTATAAAAAATACTTCAATATCAGCATCGTCACTATCAAATTGTTCAACAAGAATTCGAGCATTTTGAAGGTCTTCTTCCCGGTATTTAATTGCCGCATCCAATTTAACTACTTTCTTTTCCATTTTTGGATCATTTATCTAAAAAAGAAATTTTTAAATAAAAATTATTTTTTTACAAGTGCCAGAACAGAAACAGCCTCGGGAAACATATAAGCCTTTAAAAGAACAAAAAAATTAAATAAAATTATTTACTTTACATTATAAAGAGCCTGAGCATGATAAAGACGATAATCTGTATGTTGAGGATATAATTCGCTAAGTTTTTCATAACATTCTGCTGCCATAATATAATCTATTAAAGATTTTTTTTAATTCGAAATTAAAAAAAAATAAAAAAAAATTTCATTTGGCATTCTGTTTAATATTGAAATTTTTAAAAATATTTAGGTAATTTGGATCGATTAAATTTTAAGTTTTCCTGAAGTAATTTTTATTTTAATATTTTTAACGATTATATAACTTTATTTCTGCAAATAGAACCTTGAATATAATAATAACAATAACCAAGTAAAGATAACGCTGCTCTTGACTGAAATCAATAAATTTAAAAAAAATTCCTTAAATTTTTTTAAACCTCCGGATTTCTCTGAACCTCATATTGTAAAACACGCATTGCGTCAGTGAATTTATTGTCTCGAATCTTTAAAAATATTTTGTTTGAACAAAACAATTTTTTTAATCATTTTACCATTCCATATATTGTACTTGTAAATTCCCCATCTTTGATTGGCATAAATGCCATATTTTGTGATTAATTTTTCTTTTTTTCTTTATTTAAATTTCAAAAAAAAATTCTGAAATTTATTAAATATTTTAAAATTTATTTTCAACAATTTTATAATTATTTAATATTAAAATCTTTATTTCCTTGGCAACCAAATATTTTGAAAAATAAATATTTGGCATTTATTTTTTAAAAAATTTAAAAAAATTTCAAGTAAATATTCTAATTTTATTAAAATATTTTTTTAGATTATTTATTTATTTTAATTTTTAAATGCCTGTAACAAAAGGAGTTGGCGCTGGATCATCTACTAGTGAATATATTTGTCGAGACTTGGGGGGATTTAAGGTTTTTAAAGTTTAAAGTTATTTAATTTTTTAAATTTTTTTAGAAATTAATTGACAAACTTAGAGCAGAGGAAGACAGAATAATATTCAAACTTAATTGTGAATTGCCAACTCGATCATTCTCTCGGCAATTGGATAAGAGAAAAATTTGTGAGAATGTTCACAAACAGGTAATTTTTTCTTAATTTCTTAGATGACCGGTAACGTCAGATTTCCGGTTAGTATGTTTTCTAGCGGTCCTTATATTTTCCGTCACATATCGATTTTATGTGGGGAAGAGGAATGGGTTAGGTAGAGATTTTCGGCTTTTACTTTCGTCCGGTTAATTTTCCCTTAAAACATTCTAAATTTTGACAGTTTTTTTATTCCTTGAAAACAATTTATTTCCCAGACCATTCTTGTCCGACTTTACTTTCAGTTAAATCTTATTAGGAAAAATATCAAAAAATAATTTAACAAGAAATTAAACATTTTTAGTTGCTAGAAACAAGAAAAAGACGCGAGGATTTGCTTCAACGATGTATAAATGAGAATAGAGAAACACTTCTAAGGTATCGCAATGCCAATAAGCAGGAAGAGGAAGGTGCCAAAATTGTTACCTCGAAAGAAGAAATGACGGCATATGCAAATGTAACAAAAATTTTATTAATTAAAGATTTTTAATTTTATTTAATCAAATTAAATTGAAAATTTAGTTTTTAATATTGAAGTGATTGAAGACGCCTTCATTTAAAAATTATTTTTTAGCTCCGTTTGCTCAGGGAGGAAGCATCTGTTGAAGAAATTGTGCGTGTTCAGGCTGACAAAGCTTTGACTGACAGATGCCGAAAAGAATTGTTACTTCCATAATTAAAAGTCTTAAGAAAAGGTTCTAAAATTTTGTTGTTAAAAATATTAAGAGAATTTATTTTATAAAATTTCAAAATATTACAACCAGTTTTACAAAGTTCTCATGCCTATATAAATACATAAACTAGTATAAACTCGTGCTTTCTTTGAAGGAAAAATTGTTTTGATTACTGACAGATTTTAAACAAAAATTAATTTCTAAGTTTTTTATACAATAAATACAAAATTTGAAAAGAAAAAATACAAAAGGATTAGATGTTAAAATAAGAAAATGAATGGGCATTTGAATTAATTTTCAGTTTCTAACCCCAAATTTTTTGGCTAACTAATAATTTTTGAAAGCAAATTTATTTAAAAAACAAAAAAAGGTCCCCCAATCATTCTCTTTTGGTATTTCCGTTTTAAATATTAGAAAAAATTACAAATAAATATTCAATAATTAAAAACCATGTAAAAGGACGGAAATACAAAAATTGTCAGAAAGAAATGAGCAAGAAATTTTTGGACTTGTATCACTGTGGTTTTGATTCTAATTCTTGGGTGCGTTGTCTAACTGCATCAATTCTTTGTTTAAGCAATGAAGTACGCAAAAGAGCTGTCCTTTCAAGAGTTTTTATTGAATGAATATCTTTGTCCTTAAATTTAAAAAATTAAAAATTTGTAAAAAATAAGACTAATGTAAAAGACTAATGTAAACAAGAGTACAGCCCAAAACGGCACGCGGCCATAACAACGCAAAGCCACAACTTGCTTCATGATATTTACGAATCTTATCAAGTTTAGTATTAAACGATTCCTCTCATCGAGCTAAAGAGATTGATACCAAAATTGATAAGGGTAAGAAATTTTCCAGCTAGTTATGGCTTTGCGTTTTGAGCTAGACAAAAATACTTAACTATTGAAAATATTTCCTATATCCAATTTCTCATTGTCAGCATGATTTTAGTTAATTTAAAAAACTTCTAAAAATACCAATGCAAAAATAACGGCCATTTGTTTTGCCTGCCTATCCGCAGATTTTCTCATTTCAAAAGCAAAAGAATCAAAGCCCATAGCACGCCGACTACCTGACAAATCTGCTCTCCAAAATTTGGAGTATTTCTCTTCACAAAAGCCTTTAAAATTAAAAAATAAATATCTGAGATATTAAAAAAACTTTCTGGTGCTGAAGAAGAAAAATTTTCAAGCGGTCTTTTTTGCTGTTGCTGGGGAAATGATGGAGTTGAACTACTATTTACTGTCACTGTTTGTGGTGCAGATGATGAACATGTTGGGATATTTCGAAGTGGTAATGGAGTTGAAGTAGAGGAAGTGGAAGGTGTAAAACAGAGAGAGGAGGCTAAAGTTTTTGGTATTTCTACTTTACACAATTGTTGGGGTGGTTTGACAGTTGAAGCTGAAAAATAAAAAAATCAGAAAAGGGATTAAGAAAGCCAAAAAAAATATACGTGTATTTGCCAGTTGAGAATTTTGCTTTTCCGGCATTCGTTTAAAAGGTTGTAAATTTGGTAATGTCCCTGGTCGAAAAGTTGGAGGAGTAGAAGAAGGAGTAGATGTTGAACCTGTAGGTGTGGAATGCTTGTGAAGTTGTGGTTGTTGATGTTGTGGCATACGAATAGATGGTAAGGATGAAGAAACTAACATAAATATTAAAAAAATGTTTTTTTGGGTGCTGGGAAATAGAAAATGTAATAGTTGATTATAAAAGAAAAAAATCTGAATTGAATCGACCTAGGTAATGAATTTAAAAGGAATAAAAAAATATTAAAAAAACTTTCTGGTACTGAGATAGAAAAGTTTTCGAGCAACTATCATCCCATAAATTTAAAACATTTTAAAATTAATTAGTAAATTTTCAGATTAATTATAGTGATCCAACTCTAAGAATTATAACTTTGAGACATTTCAGAAAATTTATTAAATTAAAATAAGAAAAGTCCACTCTTAAAAATTAAAAACCTTTTTCATTCTCAATCGGAGGTTTTGTCTTTGGTGTTTGTTGTAAAGTAGAGTGATGGCTTCCATTACTGCCGTTACCATTTTTCAACCCAGCAGTAGCCCGTAATTTCTCTGCATGTTTCCATTCAGTTGGTTTTTCCCATTGCGATATATTTGTGGCACTATTGTAGTAATAACTAAAAAGTTTGGGAAAAATTAGGATAAAAATTGAGACAAAAAACCGTTTGCCAGAAGAACTAGTTTGTTCAGTCCATGTTCCAAATTCTTTTAAACGAGCAGTTAATGGTATTGTATCCTATTAAAAAATTAAAAATGAGAGGTACATAATATTGAAAGTAAAATTTTAAGTTGGCAAGAATTCTAAATCTATATAGGGATAAGGGTTTAATTACACTCTACAAATAATTATGGTAGTAATTAGTGCCCTTATTTTGTTAATGTTCATTAAAAAATATTTTTAATAAAATCTACAAACCATTTTTTGATGTTTTTGTTCTCAAAGAAATGTTTAAACAAATAATTTCAGATGATTAGGATTAACCTTGAATGTTGAAGTCAATCTAAGTGTTTTAATGATTCTAAAAAAGAAATATTTTTAAAAATTAAAAAAAAATAAACAATAAATAAAAAATTAATGACAAATAAGTGTAAAACAAATCTTGTTACAAATTTAATTACATGTGTCAATAAGAAAAGTGTCCTAAAAAATTGTCCATGCGCCTAAATGGTTGCGCCTTGGGTACAGCCCGAAATGTCGCGGGCCAAAATGTCGCGGCCGAAATGTCGCGACCGAAATGTCGCGGGCCAAAATGTCGCGAGGCCGAAATGTCGCCGGCCGAATTGTCGCCAAGCTTTTTAATTAAATATTCTGTAAAATAATTACAAAACAAGGTTATAGTTTTCAACTTAAACCTATGGAGCGTCGGCGAGGCGCTTGTGCAAAACTCCGCGCTTCGCGCGGAGTTTTTCGACACGCGCCTCGCGGGGAGTCTACGGTCGCTGGGTTCTGGGCTCGTAACCTAATCCTATTCCTTTTTACCGATTCTCAGCCTTGAATGCCGACCTACCCTCCGTAGCAACACCAAAACAGGTATTGAAGCGAAAAGGCGAACAAGGAAAAGGCGAAAATATGAAGAAAAGCTTGGCGACAATTCGGCCGGCGACATTTCGGCCTCGCGACATTTTGGCCCGCGACATTTCGGTCGCGACATTTCGGGCGTGTCCCTTGCGCCTAGGTGGCCCGCACAAAAATGACCGGAGGGCGAGTAGGACGATTCATCTTTAAAAATTTCGCTTTTAATTAATAAAATTAGGATTTTTAGTTATTTTCTGCTTAAATTTTATTAAAATAATTCTAATTTTACTTTCTTTTAGTAGTTTAATAATTTAAATTAAAATTATGTATCTCTACAATTTAACATTACAAGGAATTACTTCAATTAATTGTGCTGTTCACGGTTCATTTACTGGAAATTCAAAACAACAGGTTTATTTTTAAAGAAAATTTTTCAAAAAATATTTTAGGAAGTTTGTGTTGCAAAAGGCTCAGTGCTTCAATTATTATTTTGTGACCCAAAAACTGGAAAAATTTCAGTAATTTGCAGTTGTGATACTTTTGGAATAATTAGATCGCTTTTGACTTTTCGTCTTACTGGGAGTTCTAAAGGTTTACTAAACATTAAAGAATTTCTATTTTTTAATCGATTTTTCTTGATTGGATACTTCCTAACATTTTTTTATTAAATTTTTCAGATTATATTGCTGTTGCCTCCGATTCTGGTCGAATTGTTATTCTCGAATATTCTTTACAAAAACATTCATTTGAACGTGTCCATCAAGAAACTTACGGGAAATCTGGTTGTCGACGTGTTGTCCCTGGTCAATATTTGGCTGTTGACCCAAAGGGGAGAGCTCTTTTGATTGGAGCGGTTTGTTTTTATTTTTCTGATTGAAATTTTTTTGGGGGTTTTCTTACCTTTTCCTTATTAAGATTGAACGACAAAAATTGGTATACATTTTAAACAGAGATGCTCAGGCAAATCTAACTATCAGCTCACCACTTGAAGCACATAAAAATTACAGCATATGTTTTTCAATTGTTGGTATTGATGTTGGTTTTGAAAATCCGACTTTTGCCTGCCTAGAAATTGATTATGAGGTATCTTTTTATTTTAAATTTTGTACCCTTGAATTTATTACTCTTTCCTTTCATAGTTGTGAGAAAAAAAACGGAAAACGAGCATAATTTAGGCTGGGTTTGTTTTATTTTTCTGCTAGTTCTAGTCTTTCCCATGTAGGCCGTGAAGCCATAATTATTCATTTTAGCGCCTCAGGCGAAAATTTTGAGAATTTCAGATGACCAAATGAAATGTTTTGCTTAGCAATGACATTTTTGTTACAATACCAAGATTATTTCTATTTTTTTAAGGATTGTGATCATGACCCTACAGGTGATGCTTACAAGCATATAAAACAGACACTCACGTTTTATGAATTGGATCTTGGATTAAACCATGTTGTGCGGAAATATGCTGAACCTTTGACTGAACAGGTACATTTCCGTTTATTCCATATGTTAAATTAATCAAAATTATTTTGAAACTGTGCTCCTAGTTTAAATTTCTTTTTTAAAGGGAAATTTACTCATTGGCGTTCCTGGAGGGAGTGATGGACCAAGCGGAGTAATTGTTTGCTGTGAAAACTATTTAGTCTACAAAAACTTAGGCGATCAACCTGATGTTCGATGTCCAATTCCTAGGCGAAGAGTAATTACATTTTTTTATTTTCATATCAAAAATATTACTTAATTTCTTTTAAGAATGATTTGGATGAAAGTGAGCGTCCAATAATGATTGTTTGTGCTGCTACACACAAGACAAAATCAATGTACTTCTTCCTTGTTCAATCAGAACAGGGTGATGTTTTCAAAGTAACTTTAGAAGCTGATGGTGATCTTGTGACAGAAATGCGCATTAAATATTTTGATACATTACCTGTGGCTAATGCGTTGTGTATATTAAAGACGGGATTTTTATTCACAGCTAGTGAATTTGGAAATCAGTTTGTTTTTTTTAATTTTACTTGTAAGGTTGTTGAAAACTCTACTTGGAAATATATTTTAATGAGATTTAATTATTTGTTTTTCAGTCAACTTTTCCAAATTGCACATTTGGGTGACAATGACGATGAGCCAGAATTTTCATCAAGAATTCCTTTAGATGAAGGGGAAACATTTTTCTATGATACTCGTGGTCTTCAAAATTTAATTCTTGTTGATCAAATTGACAGCTTGAATCCAATGATTACATCACATGTAATTTTTTATTAAATTTCTTTTCAATAAATTTTGTATTATTTTTAGATTGGAGATTTAGCTAATGAAGATGCACCTCAAATTTATGCACTTTGTGGTCGTGGTCCACGTTCAACAATGAGAGTACTCCGTAATGGATTGGAGGTTGCAGAAATGGCAGTTTCAGAATTACCAGGAAATCCAACAGCTGTTTGGACAGTTAAAAAGAATGTTGATGGTTTCTTCTTTCTTTCCTAATTAAATAAATATTTCCCTCAACAGATCCTTTTCATGCACACATTATTGTCTCATTCACAAATGCAACTCTTGTTCTCTCCATTGGCGAGACAGTTGAAGAGGTTACAGATTCTGGTTTTCTCGGTACAACACCAACACTTGGCTGTGCATTAATTGGAGATGATTCACTGCTTCAAGTTTATCCATCAGGCATTCGACATATTAGAGCTGATAGACGTATAAACGAATGGAGAGCGCCACCGAAAAGGCCCATTCAAAAATGCACGATGAATAGAAGACAGGTATAATATTTTCTGAATGATATATAATTACGTGGTGATAAATTAGGCCTTAGACATTACTAACTTTTTTATTTTTAGTTGAGTTTACTCTTTCTTTGTTGAGAACATTTTTTAAAGTCGAATAATTTTGTATTTTTTATCAAGGTTGTCATTTCTTTGACTGGTGCAGAAATTGTTTATTTTGAACTTGACATGAACAACCAACTACGTGAATATTCTGAACGACGTGAACTTACCTCGGAAGTTTTATGTATGAGTATGAGCGAAGTACCTGAAGGAGAGCTTCGTTCTCGATTTCTCACAGTTGGACTAGCTGATAAGACTGTTCGCATCATTTCTCTGGACACATCTGATTGTTTGGCGCCATTAAGGTAACGTTAATTCTTGAATATGTATATGGTTTTCTTGTTAATTATATTATTAAAGTATGCAAGCTTTACCAGCAGAACCTGAATCACTTATGGTCATGGAAACATCAAGTGAACAAACAGGCACGACTAGCATAATGCATTTAAATATTGGTCTCCAAAATGGTTGCTTGTTGCGAGCAACACTTGATCAAGGTATTTTAACCTTAAAATTGTAAAAATGGATAGAATACAATATTTAATATGTATGAAATATCTATCTTGTTCCTTTTTCAGTTACTGGTGATTTGAGTGATAATCGAACCCGCTATTTGGGGACCCGGCCTGTGAAGCTATTCCGTGTTTTGATACAAAGACGAGAGGCTGTAAGATTTCTCCATATAAAATTAATAAGGTTTTGCAATATTTAGCTTTTCGCCTGTTCCAGCAGAGCTTGGCTTTTCTACAACTATCAAGGTCGTTTTCATTTGACACCGTTGAGTTACAGTGCACTCGAGCATGCAGCTAGTTTTTCCTCTGAACAATGCTCTGAGGGTATTGTTGCAATTTCTGAGAATACACTTCGGTAATTAAAAATATTTTTCCAAAGATTTGATAAAATTCTTATTACATTAAAGGATTTTGGCACTAGAAAAGCTTGGGGTACTTTTCAATCAAGTTGTACACAAACTGAAATACACACCACGTCGATTAGTTGTACATCCAGCGTCACAAAATATGATCATCATTGAAACAGATCACGCAGCTTTTACCGAGAAAGGAAAACGTAGAAGACGTGAGGAAATGGCAAATGTATGTAAATTAACAAAATATTTACGTCTAAATTTTACTTTCTTTTTTAAAGGATTTGATTGAAATGGCAAAGGATCAAGAAGAAAAGGCTTTAGCTGAGGAAATGGCACATTCTCTAAGGAATTATGAACCAGATGAATCAGTATATGGGTCTGCTAGGGCCCAAGCAGGTTAATTATGTTTTAACTCCCATTATCTTTATGGGATTTCAGTATAGCCTTTATTTTAGGGGATTTCAGTATAGCCTACCTTTTTTTAATTCTTGATCGATTTGAATAATTTTTATATTATAGTAAGTTTGTGTGGATTATTTTTTCTAGCATGATCGATATGATTAGATCATTACATGAAAAGAGAGGTGAATAGCGCGCGCAATTTTAATAAGGAAAAATAATCCTTACTTTCAATAGATAAAATTTTTTTAAATAGGTCTTGAGAAGATAAAGACTAGAGACTGAAGTAGCTGTACGAAAGTAACTAAAAATTTTAAATTTTTTTCAGGAAAATGGGCATCAGCGGTTCGCCTTCTGGTTCCTAAAACGGGCCAAACTCTATGTCAATATGAACTGCCAGAGGGAGAAGCTGCATTTTGGTAAAACATTTATTGACCTTATATCAATTATTTATATTTAAAAAATTCTAGTGTCGAACTAGTCAATTTTCGTTCACAAAATGACTCTACATTTGTACTTGTCGGCTGTGCTATTGAATTAGAACTACGTCCAAAACGTTCAAAAGGTGGCTGTGTCTACACTTTTCTTTTGACAAACAATGGAATGCGCTTTGAATTTATTCATCGAACACCAACACCACATGAAGTTTATGCAGTACATGATTTCCGTGGAATGGCACTTATTGGAGTGGGTAATTTGCTTCGTATGTACGATTTTGGAAAGAAAAAATTGCTGGCAAAATGTGAAAATCGGGTTGGTTATATTTTTATAAATATTTTATCTTTTCTTATACAAAATTTGTTGCAAATATGTGTTAATTACATATGAGGGGGAAAAGTTTGAGTTGTAAGATTTCAATAAGGCAAAATAATATTAAAATTAATGATAAGGTTAGAAACGGTTGCGAGTATTAACTACCGTTGATATCTTTTTTATCCGTTACTTAATATTTCAAAAATATTTTCTATACGCAATCTTGATTGAGATTCATTTTCTGCTTTTACTAATTCTTTACTTTTAAAATATTATTCTCTTTTAAGTTTTACTTCAATTATCTATCAACTCTATTTAAAGATGGTTAGCTTCACTTATTTTTAAAAGCAATTTATCGACAGAAATAGGCAAAATCACATAAAATGATAAATAGGAAGAGAATTAAACAATACTCCTTTTAAACTAAATGCATCCCTGACTTTCAAGCTTTATATATAAAAATTTGACAAATTTTTATTAGGACTAGTTTAACAGCTAAATAAATGGCTATGATTTAAAGCTTTTTCACACATATTTGCGATTTAAATACATTGGGCTAAATAAATTAAGGCAAGAAAATTAAGATATTCCTATCTTACAAAGGTGTTTTTCTATAGGTGTTTTTCTATCATTAACTGTTCTTATTTTCTTAAATCTATTCACGCGTCTGATAGTTCGCCACATTTTTGATGTTGCCTTTTGATCATTGGGTCGTTGAACATACGAAGTTGGGAGTTAAATGAGTTACACTAAAAATTTAATCCTTTTAATTTTTGTTACTTTATTTATGAAAACATACCATAGGCATGTTGTTTGGATCACGATTTGATGTAAATATCATGTTGTTGCAAGTGAGCAATTGTTTGAAACATGTCCGGAACTCTCGATTGAATAGTGTGTAAATAACCTGAATTAAGAAAATTGAAAACTTTCCGGTATTTAAATTTAGTTCTACAAAAGATTTTTGTTTTTAAAACTAACCGGATTGAATGCAGAATTTAAGTATCCCAGCCAAAAGAATATTGACCATATTACTTCATTCACATGCACATCAAATGCAGTTAATCCATAATATATAGAAAATCCCAACCAACAGAAAATAAAACATCCTGTTACAATTGCAACAGTTTTTGCTGCTTTGATTTCCAAAGATAATCGCTTTTCGTATGTACCCCCTGCGCGTTTCTTCTTCATCCAGAATCCTTTTCCTAAAATGCGCATTAGCAGTGATGCAGCTAATCCACGTTTAGTTGTGCTGTTGCTACTACAATTACTGCTATTGCATGTTTTTTGTTGTGTTAATTGTTCTTGTTGTGGTGGTGACCCATTTGTAAGTGTAGTATTGTTTTGATGTAAAAGGGGCGTTGTTGTTAAGTTATTTGTTTCTGGAATATTGTTGCTGTTATTTTCATCATTTTCTTCTCCATTAGGCGTTGATAACGCTGTTTGGTTTAAATTTTGAACATCTTGACAACATACTCCATTAGGTTTTGTAATTGCATTTAATTTTGTTTCGTCACCAGAAGAGGAATCATGTGATTCTGAACTTTCCTCTGTTGCTTTTGGACAAAGAGATGGTCTAAAAATTTTTATTTATACATATTTACTGATGTTTTTAAAGTTACCTTTCTTGAGTTAGTTCGTAAACAATTTCACTAGGAATGCTTAGGCGTACTGGACTCAATCTTTCTTCATTTCTACAATTTAATAATTTTTTTACAAATTGGTTTTATGATTTTTTATTTACCTTTCTTTGATCAGTAATCTTTCCTCACTTCTACGTCTATCCAATTCAGAGTTGTTTCGGTAATACTCAAGATTATTGCAACTTCCATTCATTTGAGCATAAACAGTAGGCATCGAACTACTGTTTAGCGAGATTGGTATACTTCTTAGAGGATCCATGCTTAGTCTTTGTCTTAATTATTTTGAATTTAACTTATTTGTATGGTTTTACAATTCATTTTAATATTTTATAAAATGTTACCTGTTACGAATATGCGCAGCTCTAAGTCCAAATAATTTAGGCAATTTTAGATATGAGCCTTCAATACCACCATTTGATTCATTATTCGATTTCTGATGTTTTTCTTGAGGTGGTTTTTTGTTAGCATTTTCAGCTACCTTTAAAAATTTTTTTTTGAAAAAATTCTAAACATTTAATATTTTCTAGCTTTTCTTTTCAATCTTTTTATCTTTTCATTAAAATCTTTTCTCACCTGAACCATACCAGCATATTGCGATTTTGTCGCTGCCATTGCAGCAATATAAATACGAGCATATACAAAAATAACAATTGCCATAGGGATATAAAAACTTGAAGATGCACTGAACAGAATATAATACATTCCAGAATTTGAAGGAGTGCAGCGACAAGCGTCAGGATTACGCAAAACAAATTCTTCTGCGTTTCGCACCATTTCCCCTCCAACCCCCGTTGTTGCTGCTGCCGCCATTTGCTGAGCAATATAGCGCTTTCGTTCACTAGATGCAAGTAAAAAGCTTGGTGTGCAAACAATAAATGAGCTAATCCAAACAAAGGCAACAATGCAACGGGCGCGGAATTTGGTGATTAACATGTTATAATTGAGCGGTTTGATAATGGCAATATAGCGATCTACAGAAATGGCAACGAGATTATAAACTGAGGAAGTACACATCCATATATCAATAGTAAGCCAGGCAGTACACCAAATATCTCCAAAAATCCAAAAGCCGTTTAGTACTTCATTTGCGATGCTGAAGGGAAGAACAACAAGGCCGACCTTTAAAAATTATTTTTGACAATTTAACTTGAATTTTTTGGGTTACGTGTCATTTTAACAGTCAACTTTCTCTTAAGTATATTTTTTAAAAATAATTTTACCAGCATATCTGCGACGGCTAGTGAGAGAATTAGCAGTCCAGTTGCCGTCCTCAATCTGCGACGCATTAGAACCTTTAAAAATTTATTATATTTGCTTCATATCTTTCAAAAATTTTTAAAATATTCAAATTTTTAGTATTATTTTTTTACTTATTTAATAATTTCTACAAAAATTTGTTATTATTAAAAACTCACTGCTGCTATAACAAGTGCATTTCCCCCAACTACCACAATAACCATCATTGCTAGAAGTGCAATTAATGAAAAAATGCGTAGGGCTCCAGGTTGATTAGGCAATAAAGTCCACTGTTTTAATGTACAAATAGCCTCATCATCAAATTCTGAATATAATTGTGATGAGTTTTTATTAATAATTTCTCCAAATATTGTGCTAGAGGGGGTGGATAATAATTGTTGAGGTATTCTATTTTCACTTGATGAGGGTATTCTAACGAGATTCATGTTGTTATTGATATTCATTGTGTGTAAAAATTCTTAAGTCAAGTAATTTTAATTGTTGTTTTTATTTTTCTTATTTTTTGTCAAAATATTATTTAATCTTTCTAGTCTCCATTTTAATTAAAATATTTATTGAGATCTTTAAATGCTAAATGAGAATGTTTAATATATTTAGGTATATTAAAAAAGCGTATAGAAAATAAATTCTAAAAAGGGCTTTGTAACGATTTTTGAGATTTTATGGTTTTTGAGAGTTAAAAATTATATATTTGTTTATATTAAAGTCTGTTAATATTAAAAGTGTATTAATTTAAAAAATTGAATGTGTTAAATATATAAAAGTATAGAGAAACGAGTAATTGCTATTTGTGTAGTGCCGACAATTTTACATTTTTTATGGCAATATAAAATGATAAAAAAGTGTGGACTTTAATTAAAAATAAACAAATTTTTAATTGTTTTGGGTTTTCCCAATATGGGAATTTTTTTATCTATTTATGTTAAAAGAATATTTTTTAAAATAGGATCAGACATGTACATAAATATTTATTTTTTTATTTTTTTTTTATGAAAATTCTTCTATTGATTTTCAAACGCGTAAAACTTTTTTTCTTTCAATTGAGGAAGAAACATGTTTGTTCCGCCTTTCACTTCCGCTTTTCTCTTTCAACAATTCCATGGAAAATTGTCTATTATTTTTCGGGATTTTTGCCAATTCGCGTGTTTGTTTGTGTTTTGTCTGTTTAAAAATCCTCAAAGCCGTTCTTCATATAGTTATGGACATATATTTTTTAATATGTTTCTGGCTGTTTTCAAGCTCCTTCCCCTTTTCTTCTTTTTGAAAAAAATGTTGACAATCCTCATCCACTTGTTTTCTTTTCAATAGATAGACAATTTAAAAACTCACTCCCTTTTTGCTTTATTTTTCCCCTTTTATTTTCATAGCTAGTTGGCACCTCGTCAACATATTTAGAGGCAGCGGGCAAATCTAAATGTCCTTTTATTTAGTTGATAGCGTAAGGATGGCATTTCGGCCTCAGCTTTAAGGGACATGGGGGAAGGTGAGGAATCGTTAGGCGTTGCTAAATCTGTCCTCGCATTTTATATTTCTTTTTGTTCTTAATCCGTTCTCGCTGCCACACATACACGCAACCAAGCATCTGGAGCTAACTACCATTAAGAGAGTTAAAAATGTAAAAAATAGTAATATAGGGGCTATAACATAAATTGACAAGTTTTAAATCGATTTTTATTACTTTGGATAAAAAAAGACTTTAAAGTTTTATTATGAGTGCATGTTAATGGTGAATTAATTCTAAAAAATGAATAAACTAAAAATAATTTGTTTTGAATTAAATTAAAGTTTAACAATAAAAATAAAAATATTTTACATAATTACAATAGTGAATTTTATCCTGAAATAATTTTCTAAAATTTTTAATACTATGGACATGTATTATATTTAATGTAGATAAGGAGATATTTTCTTTCTAAAATTTTAAAATAATTTTAGAAATTATTTTAAGGATCTTTCTAATTTAAGGATTTTGCCAGAAAAGTGGCTAAGAAGGTTAGTCTAAGCAAAATCCATAGACAGGCTTCAAAATGCTCATTTGAACAGCGGCACTTGTTTCGGTACAGAAAATTTGTTGTTTAAGGAAGAGAAAAGGAAAAAAGGAAGAAGAAACGGAAGGAAGAACAGAAAGGCACAAACAAATTCTTCCCCCTTTTTTACATCAAAACAGCTGTCTCTTTCGGTTGTCACCAAGCTGAGAACAAGCTTTTGAGTGTTGAAAAGGAGGGGGGATAAGGCGAGAAAAAATGAAAGAGATGTAAAAGGACAAGTGAAATTGCTTCCAATATAGGGGTAAAGGGGCATTGAGGGATGAGCGTGGTTAAATACGTCGTCATTCATTTGTGGTGAGACTTAAATCAGCCGGGATGATAAAGGGGATGAATATATATTTATGGACAAATATATCGATATGTTAAAATATAATTAAGAAAATATGTAGACAAATTTTTATAATAATTAAAGGGATTAAATTGAATTAAAGGAAAGAAAAACTACTAAAATAAATTTTAAAAGTTTATTGTGATAAGGTTTTAGATTTATATTTGTGTTTATTTAAGTATTAAAATAATAGGAAATTTTTTTTTATTTCTTTTAAAGGTCATTAAAAGTTGAAGGTTGTTGATTTATTTTTATAAAAATAATGAAATTTGAGGCGTAAATATTTTTTTATTTTTAAAATTAATTTTTAGAGGCTGTTATTTTACTTCACTTTTGTTATTTATAGAGAACATTTAAAAAAAATAGAATTTAAAATCAAAAAATATTAAAAATAATTTTTTAGAGGGACTAAACTTTAATAAGAATTATTTGACTTTTAAGAGGTTATTTTAAATTTTCTAAAAATTTTTAGAAATTTTCTGAGGTAGATAATTCAAAATTGATAAAATAAAAGATGTCATTAGTTTACTCAAGGGAATTTTGAAAATTTAAAAGGAATAAGACAATGTCTATTTTTGTTTAGAAATTGTATTTTTAAATTAAATATTTTAATTAATCTTGAGTAAAATTGAGACAAATTTGTGGTTAAACTTGACTAAAAGATTATTGAGGTATTAATTAAAAATTTGTTTTGGTCTCCAGTATATATATGTTTTTAACATAAGAATGAAATGATAAGAAAGAAACCTACACTTGGTATAAAATACATGTAAAAATGCTTTTTGTTAAATTAGGGAAGACGAAGAATTTTATTTTCTTATTGCTGCGTTTTGTGGGGGCGTCGTGGTAACTAAAAAGCATTGCCGCGACTAGTAGTATATTAAATTAGTTCGCGCTGGGATATAGGGAAGAAGAAAAGTAATGGGACAAAATGTGAAGGTGGAAATATGTAGGATGAATGTAAAAGTATATGAGGAAGGGGAATTTGTAGAGGACAATTGAGGGAGGAAATATTTGGCATTTTTACAAAAGCTTTAAGGGAGAATTTTAATTTTATTTTTTGCTTCCTCAATTTTTTTATTTACAACAAAATATATAAATTCTGTTTTTAGATTGCTTACTCGTTTTTTATTCATATAAGTATGTATAATTTGTGTGTCTTGTTTATTCTCTTTTTTTCGTGTTTTGTTATTGCTCCTGAATTTATTTATTATGAATTGTGAAAAAGAGAAGTTTCTTGTTTACATGAAAGAAAAAACAATTATGCGTAAATATATTCGAGATTATTTTTTTCTAAGAATTTCTTGGGGTTATCTAAAAAAACAAATTTAATTTCGAAGCTTCAGTTCTTTAAAAGAAAACAATATTTTCTAAAATTGTGGAAAACTTTTTAAGTAAAAATTGGAATTTAGAGGGGGGGAGGGGAGGGAACGTTTTTGGCAACAAACAAAAATATTTTTGAATTGAAAAAATGGAACGGTTATCATTGTTTATTTACTTTTTACGTCATGTAAATGCATGCATACAATTAAGTAATCATTTATCGTCACTTTGAAACAAAAGTAAAAGAGCTACTATTTTAGTATAATATTTTGTTTGTTTTTGGGTATTTAATTTTAATAATTTAAAAAAAATATTTGATATTAAAATTTTTGATAGGTAATTAATTAATCGTGTGTTATGAATTTATTTGGAAAATATTTTTGAAAAATATTATGAAAATAGCAAAAGAATAATGTGTTTATTTTTGGTGTTAAATTTTTAAAATAAAAAATTTTTGAAATGAAATTTGAGGAGAAAAATACACAAAAAATATTTTTAGAACACGAATTAAAAAAGTTAAATGAGGTATTTCAAATAAAATTCTTTAAACGATTATTTTACGCAAAACTTATTTTTTAATTTCTTAAGTTTATTTTTAGTTAAATAGAAAATGAATTTTTGAAAAAATTTAATTTTGGAGATAGACGGGGGGAATATTAGAGAATTTAAAATTTAAAAGGGAAAAAGTACTAAAGGGGGGGATTATCGGATTGATTGTAGAAGGAATGTTGGAATGACTAAGAAAGAAATTTTTTAAAGTGAATTTTTTGTAAGATAATTTTAATTTTAAAATTTCACTTTATTTTATATTGATTTTAATTAAAATAATCGAAGGGGGTTTATTATAATTAGACTTAAAATTCTTTTTTCTAAAATCCATTTTTAATAATAATTTAACCAAAAAATTAATCTCAATTTCACATTTTTATTTGCCATTTTTATATTCTAAATTCTTAGAAAAATAATTTTAAAAGAAGAGGGAGAACTGCCATGGAAAATTAATTAAAGGAATGAAAAAAAAGATAGAAAAAAGTATATTATTTAAGTGTGAAATGAGAGGGAGGAAATAGTAATGTTTTAAAAGGTTTTTATTTGTTTTTGATTATTTTTTTTAAATTTTCTGGAAAATTCTTTAATTGAAAAAAAAGATTTCTATTTAAAAACATTACTATTTAATGAAAAAATATATGCCTTTTATTATTTGTAAGAAATATATTGGCCATATATTTTTCTTCCTCGTGTTAATTAAACGCGCGCCTCCTCCTCCTCATGCCTTTATATCCTGAAGGCTTTCATGCCTTTTATTTTAAAAGGATGAAAAGAAAAAATGAAAAGAGATATGATGTTAAAGGTTTGTAATGAGCTTTAGAATTTTTAGAAAAAATATGCAAACAATATAAAAGGGCTGAGATAAATAATAAGATTTTTAGTAAAAAAATAAATAAAAAACAAATTTATATTTGAGAAAAAAATAATTTAAAAAAAAGGTGATGTCATGAAATTAATTTTTTAAAATTAATTTTTGGTAGTGTTTATGAGAATGTTTATTTAATTAAAAGTTTAAATTTTGTTTTAAGATTGTTTATTAAAAATAGTTTATAATTAGAATGCTTATGTTGTAATTGTCTATTTTTAGTGTGTTCTTTATACTAATTTTTATGGAAAAATTAATTTTAAATAAAATAAAAAATAGAATAATATTTATGTTTTTTATAATTTATTTTTCAACTCCCGCAGGTTTTTAAAATAAGAAATAAGTTTAAGGACGAGAAATGGCAGAAAAACCCATTAAATGCTTATGTTAGTAGTAAAAGTAAATTAGTTTTTTGGTTCTTTAGTTTTATCTTTTCCTCGTGGTAATTAACTATGGATAGGCCAAAAATAAATTTAATATTATTATATGTGAGAAAGATTTATTTAAAGTTACTATAAGGCTTGGAAATTTTAAAGGTGTGGTTAATAATAATTTTAATGTCAAAAATAGGATTTAGAATTTTTTTATTTCTCTTGCGAGAGCCAATTTTAAAGTTGTGGAGTGAAAGGAATTTGTAAAATATATTGTTAAGAATTTGTATATTTTAAAAGCCTTTTTTAAATTAATTCTTCAAGAAAAACTTTTTCTAGAATTTCCATTTTTGAGAAATTCTATTTTTAAATAATTTGTAATTGTCAATATGAATTTTGTGCTTTGTTTTTTGCCCACCTTCAAACCTTTTTATTATCAACATTTTTTAGTTTACAGATTCGCTATTTTTTCACTTTTTTCCACGCCCATATCTTACATTATAATCTAAAAATATTTTTTTTGCCGAGATTGTTTATATGTTTTGTTTGTTTGGTTAATAAATGAAAACATCCCAAATATAGATGTTTCTAAATTTGGATTGTAACCAAAAATGGCATTTTTTAATATTGTTGGTTTGACTAAAATACGATAGAGAATGATTTTAAAAATAGGTAAAGGGGGGGGGAGTGTGATTATTTAGATAATAATTGGGGGAGTTTAAAAGCAAATATTGAAGTTTAAAAATTACCCTTAAAACAGTGAATTGTTTTTTTTTTGTTTTGATCTAGATAAATTAGAAAATGGGGAGTTATGTAAAATACAACAATTTGAATTAGATTTACTTACTATTTAGTTAAGTATAGAAATTAATAAATTTTATTTTTTTCCTTTATTTATTTTGTAATTAAAAATTATTATTGTTTTCTGGGTTTATAAATTACTTAATGGCTTAAACTGAGTTTAATTAAATGGAAATTACTTAAGTATACATAATTTTATAAATTACTAAATTTACTTAATTCTAAGTATGTACTTATTATGTTTAGTTTTTAGGGAAATTATGTAATTAACACAGATTTGCTTATAGAAAATATAAAAAAAATTTTTAATTAATAAATAATTTCTTTATATTTTTAAGCAAATCCAAGTTCAAATTGTCGACATAAAATCAATGGGTCCGAGAATTATTGTATCAGATAGTCAGGAATCTGTTCATTTCTTACGTTACAAATCAAATGTAAGTTTACTTTTTTTAATTATTGTTAGAAATTGGGAGGTTTTTTGGTGTGAATAGTTCTTAAAAAATTATTCCCTAATTGGTTATTTCACCAAAAGCTCAGGATAAATTGCGGATTAAAGCGCTTCCCCGTACACAAACTTTTCTTTAAAGGAAAAATTCGAAAAAAATTTCTTTTAAAAACATTTAACAAGCAAAACAAAACACCTACAAGTTTAACAAAAAATGTAATTTTCTGAGAATTTCACTAGCGACCAGTTTTTTTTAAATATTATTATTGGGAAAAAGAACACATAACAACCACGCGGTTCTTGCCAGTCAATTTATTCCGCCCCCTCTACTTTTAATATAAAATAACAAAACAGAACAACAACACAACATTTAAAAGAAATTTTTATTTGCCAATATATTTTTATTTAAAAAATGCTGGTAAAATAAAAAAGTAAAAGCAATATTCGATTCAATAAAAGTACATAACAGGAACCTGTGCCAATTTTAAAGGTTTCCGGTCTATAACAAAAGTTTTGGTCGTCTGGCCGACGGCGGATGTTAAAACAGAAAAGAAAAAATTCATTTTCCCTGTCCTTTTAAATTATACCGAATAGAGTTTAGAGTAAAAAAAGAAATTGAATTGGGGTAATAGCTACTGTGTGTTTGTTTGTTGTGAGGTGTGTTTAAAAAAAGTTTATTTAAATAAAAGAAATATGGTTAATCAAAAATTATTTTGAAATTTATTGTCCCAGAAATTGGTTAAGAATTATTTATTTTTTGGGAATTGTTTTGAAAATTAAAAATATATTTGGGGGAAAAATTAGATAATTTAAAATCTGAAACTATATTTTTAATTAAATGTTCAAACTGATATTTTCTAATAAATTTTGAAGGAGGGGGTTGAAGGAGGAACTAGATGAATTATAAAAGAGAAAGATTTTCTGGAAAACTGTAATTTAGAAATAGCTAAAAATATTAAGGTTGTATGTAAGTGAGAATCAAAACAATTATTTACTTTAGTTTGAATATAAGTTGAATTGTTATAAATTAAAGTAATACTTCAAAGGGTATATGATTTCTGAATTTTAAAAATAAGAGATTTCTTTTTCATATTTTAATAACTTTATGTTTCCTTTTTTACTAAATATTTAAATGAATAAGATTTTGGTAACCAAAAAAACTTTTTACGAACATAAATAATTACTGGAATTACAAATAAAGTCATTTAAAGGAATTAGACTGAGCCAACAAATAATCCATTCATAACTATTTTTTAGCTTTTTTACTTCAAATCTCTTAAAATATTTTTTTCTAAAAATGAGTTTTTCTTTCATTTTCTTTTTTGGTTTATGCCTTCCCTCCCCTCCTTCAATACTTTTTAATGGCGTGACTAAAAAATGACGCCTTTGGGGACAAAGAACATTTCCATTTTTAAATAATGCTTAAAAAATCTTTTGGTTTGTTTATGCATTTTTAAGTATCATTGGCAAAAAGGAAGTGAATTTTGTAGCATTTTTAAAAATTAAATATAGGTAAATATTGGAGGTTATTATTGGGGGGATGACTTTAATTGAATAAAATTTTAATGAAACTCCAAGTCGTTTGGGTACTGGGAGTCTAAATATAAATTATGCCGAAACTTTTATAAAAAACGTTTAAGTAATTTACCTTAAATAGAAAATAAGGATATTCTTTCTTTAAAATGAACCTACAAATTTAGTAATTTAAAACAAATTTAAAACAAAAATGGCTTTTCTCTAAATTATAAAAACAATTTTTCCCAAATTTAGAACATTTCTAAATTTGGCAGCTGTCACTCCCTCCATTTAACCACACCTCTCACGCACACAATTTTTCTTGAAATTTGTATTTTGAGAAAATTTTAATATTGAAATAAGTGATTGAATTTTTGATAGAAATTTTTAAAAATTTATAAAGGATTTTTTGGGAAAGAAGGGGAGGGAGTGAGGTAGGGGGGGGGAGGTTGGAAACTTTTATTCATAATTTAAATTTTTGCTGCAATTAAGGAAACGATTCTGGATATTTTAAAAGCATTAAATGTCTTACTTTTTCAGTTAAATAAAAATTATTATTTTAAATATTGGGTGTCTTTTTGTTTCGGCGTATTTAAAATATTTTTAGAATAGCACTTTTTTCTTCATTTAATTAAAAAAAATTTTTTTATTTTTTAAACTTTATTTTATTTTTAAATTCGCATTTTTTGCCATTTTCTTTCTGTTTTTTAAAAATTTTTCTCTTAAATTGGAAAGAGATTCTATTATCACCAAATTTTTATGCAAATATAGTTTGAGGAACAATATTTTTTACTACTAAAATTAAAGTTTTTTTGAAAATTGTGAATTGGACTGTAAAGTAAATAGTAGAAGTGAAAATGAACTTTTTTGGTTATTTTTCCCGGAAATTTGATTTGTGTGCGTTCTGCTTGGATAAACTATTTTGAAGGGGAAAGGGGGGGGGGGGGAGACTTGTTAAATAACGGAAATGAATAAAAGGACCTAATGAATAAAATTAAAAAAAAAATACTCGTAAAAATAAAAAAAAATCTTTGTTTAGGCATTTAAGTAAATTTTGGGATATAATTTTGAAAAATAATAGTAGATTTATTAACTATAAGTTTTATACTTATCTATATTTAAAATATAAATTTGGTAAATAAATTGGTTTTTCCTTTAAAATAGTCTCAAGTCGTTTAACTTAAATAGAATTTAAAAAATTTAAATTAGTAAGAATTTGTTTTTAATGAGTATTCAATTTCAAGAAAAAGTTCTAAAAATATTACAAAAATGAAATTTTCTTAAAATTTTGTTGTCTGTCCCTTGCTTCGGTTGACTGAAAATTTATGTTTCTAAATTTGGAAAAAATCGGTAAATTCTTAACACATTTACTTTTCTCTCTTCTTTTCCTTATTTTATTGGGGATAATTAGAATAATTTGTGTGTGTGTTTGGAATAAAAAAGTAATAAAAGGTTGCCATACAAAAATAAAATAGAAAAAGTAAGTTAAAAATAGTAAATTGTGTAAAACATCATTTTACTTTTTGATTTTAAAAGAGAAGGGATTGGGAAGGTAGGCCTAACTTTTTGGTAATCATACTCAAAGCTAGAAAAAGTTGTTAAATCGAGTGTGTTTGAAATTTTGTTTAGGCAACAATCAAATAAATGAGGGATCTAATATTGTATGTATATATAAGTAAGGTCCGTCTAAATGTTGCTCGATAAATATTTAGCTTTAGTATATCAAGAAATTTTTTTGAATTTTTTTAATTAAATGTTGAGTAATCTAAAAAATTTTTGTTTTAGATAATTTTTGCTATTTTTGCCTTTCTTTATTTATATACTAATTTCTATATTTTGAGATTTCTTTTTTCTATTAAAAAAATTAAATTTAAATTAAATAAAGCAAAAATATCTAATTTCTAAAGAAAATGTAGCGGAAAAAGAAATTTAATAAAATCTTAAAATAAATGCGCGGAAATTAAAAAATTAGGTAACTAAAAATAAACAAGATTTTAATTGTATTTTGCAACTTAAAATAATTAATTTTAAATAAAATTTTTATTTAATTGTGTTCTTTTTTGGAAATTTGATTAAATAATGGAATTAATAAAAATATTTTTCGGGAATTTTTTTAGAAAATAAATTTATTTTTAAATTTAATGTTTGACGTTTTAATTTAGGTATTTTTGTTTTTGAAGGTTTTATTTTAAATTTTCTATTTTAAGAAAATTTTGAGAACTTATTTTTTATAAAATTACTTTTTCGGGATTATTTAAGTATTTGGGGCTATGGAAAAAATTATTGCAGAAAAATATTAGAGAATTTCGAATTTAAAATTTATTTTGATAAAATAAATTTTTTAACCAATAAAAAAAGTTTAAGAATATTTTTAACTATATTATAATTGCCTTGTTTACAAAGTTTTTTTTAAGTGAGGTCGACCTTGCGGCTTTTATCGACAATTGTTCGCTTAAGCGTGTTTTTATAGGCTTTTTGCTATTTTTTTGGAGGGATCCATCAAATAAATAAATATCCATCATTCATCCATAAATATTTTCGTTTCTAGAGGGCAATTTAAAGAAAGAAAAGTTTGAGGTAAATGTGTGTGTTTGTTTACTGTTTTTCTTGCCTGAAATTTTATAATGCCTTAAAGTGTTTTGATATATAGCTATTTTTGGATTGAGTTTTTTCTACATTTTTTTTATTTTGGAAAAGGGAATTAGGAAAATAGTAATCTTAATGATTTATAGAGATTTTACAAAAAAATTATTTTTATTTCTGTTTGGAAGTATATACATGTTTGGTTAAAAAATAAATATAGAATAATTTTAACTTTTAAAAGTGTATATGTATATAATGATAATTGATATAATATTTACTAGGAATTACACAATATAGCTAGGTGTGAATTGGGTTTGATCGGATTCCGTGTCAAAAAGTCTGGGTTCAGGACAGATCGGTTTCTAGTAACTCAGCCTATTCCTGGTATGTAGTGGTAAAATAGTACATGTTACTATACAGTCGTGGAAAAAAGTATGGAAGCGCTAGAAAATTTTCTCTTAATTTTTAATTTTTCATTCAAAAAATACGTTCTATATACCAATCGAAAGCTCTATTCGTATCTCAGTTGACATGTTTCTGCATTTTTCATGAAAATGAAAATTGGCCGAGATAATCCGGATCTACCGGATATACCAAATCCCATTTTTTCGGAAAAATTTTTCGGAAGAAATTTAACAAACCCATTTGATAAAGCATATTTTTGTGAGTATTTTCCACAAAACCGCTAAGAAATATCTTTTTCCGGAACAGAGATATGATTTTTTGAAAATCGTATTTTTCCCTTAAAAATCGAATTTTTTGCAAAAAATGACCAAAAATACGATTTTCAAAAAATCATATCTCTGTTCCGGAAAAAGATATTTCTTAGCGGTTTTGTGGAAAATACTCAGAAAAATATGCTTTATCAAATGGGTTTGTTAAATTTGTTCCGAAAAATTTTTCCGAAAAAATGGGATTTGGTATATCCGGTAGATCCGGATTATCTCGGCCAATTTTCATTTTCATGAAAAATGCAGAAACATGTCAACTGAGATACGAATAGAGCTTTCGATTGGTATATAGAACGTATTTTTTGAATAAAAAATTAAGAATTTAAAAAACTTTTTCTAGCGCTTCCATACTTTTTTCCACGACCGTATTTTCTATATTCCTTTGCTATATTAAAATATTTAAAAACTTTCACATTAATACATATAAAATGTTAATGATTTAATATTAAAGTCACTGAAAATTGGTTCTTTCTAGAAATTCTTTGGATTCTCGCGTTTTTTTTGTAGTGAATATTTAATGATTAATCTATGTATTTTTTAAGGAATATTTTTTTGAATTTCCTTAGAATTTCCTGACCTTTCACGGCTTGAAATGGGGAGGGTATAAATTGTTTGAATTTTTTCTATTAATCCCTTTGTATCTTTTTTATTTAAAGAATATTTTTATTTTTTAAATATTTAATTATATTTTAATAAAATATTTAAAGAAACTGGTCATTAAGTTAAATATTTATTTATATATTAATTGCAGAAAAAGCCAAATTTATTTAAAATTAATTATTATTTGCATGCGCCTACTCTATTTAAAAAACTAAAAAACTTTTTTCTGAAACATTTTCTTTTTCTTTATTCTATTTATAGACATTCCCAAGAATAAATTATTTTTTGAGCTTTAATAAAACACAAAGAAAAAGTTTGGAAATAAAAAAAAGAAGAAAATAAATAAGGAATAAAAAAAGGTTTTTGTTGTGCAAATAAAAATTGAATTTGATTTTTGGAAAATATATTTAAATAATTGAATGATTAAAGATTAGAAAAATAAATTTGAAATTTCAAATTTTTATTTGGTGATTAAATTAATTTAACTCCCCTTTTTTAAATTAAAAATTAATTTAAAAAATTTTAGGAAAATCAACTAATCATCTTTAGTGATGAAACAACCCCTCGTTATATAACATCAATATGTTTATTAGATTATGATACAGTTGCTTGTGCTGATCGTTTTGGGAGTATAGCTATTGTAATTACAAAATAAATTAAATAAAAAATTTAATTCTTTTTAAAGCTTCGATTACCAAAAAATTTGGTTGAGGAAGTTCAGGAAGACCCTACAGGTGTTCGGGCACTTTGGGATAGAGGGAATATGAATGGAGCTTCTCAAAAAGTTTTTTTGAGTTTTTTAAAAATAAATTTATTTTTTAAAGTTGGAATTAATTGCACATTTTTATATTGGAGATTTAGTAACTAAATTACACAAAACAAGTATTGTCCCTGGTTCTGATGATTCTTTAATTTATACAACAATTTCTGGTTCAATTGGAATGCTTGTTCCGTTTATTTCGAGAGATGTAAGGGGAGGGGGAGGGAGGGAGAAGGGGAAGGGGAAGGGGAAGGGATTTTGGAATTTAAATGTAAAAATTTTTTAAAGGAATTTGAATTCTTTCAAACACTCGAAATGCATTTACGTGTTGAGAATCCGCCTCTTTCTGGCCGGGATCATTTGGCTTATCGATCTTTTTATGCTCCGTGTAAGGTAAAAATAAAATTAATTTTTTTAGTCAATATAGGCCCCTTAAATTTTTAGAAAGGATACAAACTAAGAATACAAAAAAATGTTTATTTTGTGTTAAATACACAAATTTCTAAAAAGAGTTTGTAGACTTTGAATTTATTTTTAAGTTTTGTTTTTTTGTAGTATTTCACTAAAAAACTTTTCTCTTTTTTTGATTTATTATTTTCGATTGATAAGAAAATCATGCGATTATAGACACACGTTTTAAAAATTAATTTTTTTTTAATATTCTAATTACAAAATAGAGAGAGAGAGGAATGGGGAATTTCCCTTTTATTTTTTTTATTTATTATTTAATTATTCCCCCAAATTTCATCATTCCTCCCATTTTTTTAAAAATTAATTTTTAAATATTAGTTTGTTGTTGATGGCGATTTATGTGAGCAATATTCTACATTGGATACAGGAAAACAGAGAGAAATCGCTTCTGCTCTAGGTTTACAGCCTGGGGTTGTTGTAAAGAAATTAGAAGATTTGAGAACGCGTTATGCTTTTTAAAAGGAATTTTTTTGGGAAAAATTGTTATTTATTTTATTTTTTTGCAATTTTAAATTGGCCCTCATATCCATTTATTTTTTTATCAATGATCTGAAAATTAAAATTTGGAATTTTTTTGAAAGATTTTTTTGTTATTTAATTTGTTATTTGACATTTATTTATTTATTTTTTGCATATCTTATTCTTTTTTTTTAAATTCAAGTTTTTTAACGGAATTTGGAGATTAAATCTAAAAATTAAAATCCCGTTAGATTAATATTCTTTTATTTTGCTAAATTTTTTTTAGAAATTTCTTGGAAGAGAAAATTATTTGGGGGACTGCCAAAATAATTTTGTTTATTGTTTTTAATTATAATTTTTTTAATTCTAAAAATCCTTGCATTTTTTATTTTAAATTTTGTTTTCAATCCGTTAATATTTCTAAAGAATATTTTTAGAATTTCAAAAAAGAATTCAAAACTATTTTCCTTTTTTATTAATTAAAAAATGTCTGTTACAACAGTTACAACAACTCAATCTTCCAAAAAATTACCTTATAAAGTTGGTAGGTTTTTGCTCAAAATTTGTTATTTTAAATAAACATTTTTTATTTTTAGCGGACATTTCACTTGCCGATTTTGGACGTAGAGAAATAATTATTGCTGAAAATGAAATGCCTGGACTTATGGCTATGAGAGTAATTTTGATTTTTAGAAAATTTTTGTGAAAATTAATTTTTTAAAGGAAAAATATGGCACTCAAAAGCCGTTGAAAGGTGCACGTATTGCTGGATGTTTACATATGGTGATTAAATAAATAAAATTATTTTTTTATTTAAAATTTAATTTTAGACTGTCCAAACTGCTGTTTTAATTGAAACTTTGTTGGAACTTGGGGCTGAGGTTAAAAGAAAATATTTTTTTTATTTAAAAATAAAATAGGTTCAATGGTCTTCTTGTAATATTTTCTCTACTCAAGACCATGCTGCTGCAGCAATTGCTGCTAAAGGTATTCCTGTATATGCTTGGAAAGGTGAAACTGAGGAAGAATATGAATGGTGTATTGAACAGGTAGAAGAGAATAAATTGAATTAAAATTAATTTTTAGACAATAATCTTTCCAAACGGCCAACCATTAAATATGATTTTGGATGATGGTGGAGATTTAACAAATTTAGTTCACAATAAATACCCAGAATTATTGAATAAAATAATCGGAATAAGTGAAGAAACAACTACTGGAGTACATAATTTAGCTAAAATGTTGGAAAGCGGGGAATTGAAAGTAGCGGCAATAAATGTTAATGATTCTGTCACAAAATCTAAATTTGACAATTTATATGGAATACGTGAATCTTTGCCTGATGGAATTAAACGGGCAACTGATGTTTGTAGAAAGAGAAATTGTTTTTTTGGAAAAATAATTATTTCTTTTAGGTAATGCTTGCTGGGAAAGTAGCCGTTGTTTGTGGTTATGGAGATGTTGGGAAAGGTTCGGCTGCTGGTTTACGTAATTTTGGTGCGAGAGTAATTATTACTGGTAAAATTTAGTTTTGTTTTACTAAATTTCAAAAAAAAATTTAAAAGAAATTGATCCAATAAATGCTTTACAAGCAGCAATGGAAGGTTATCAAGTAACAACATTAGAAGATGTTATTGAACAAGCACAGATTATAGTAACAACAACTGGCTGTAAAGATATTGTACGTGGAGAACATATTGAAAAATTACCTGAAGATGCTATTATTTGTAATGTAAGTAAAGGGAGAGAGAGAAAGTTATTTTACAAAAAATTAAAAAATAACAAACACAAACAAAAGGACCCTTTTTCCTAATACATATAAGCACACCCCTTGTATACAGACTAAAAAGCATGTCCAACTTTTGTTTAGACTTAGGTTATATATAGAATTACTTTTTTATATTTAATCTTGATTAAATAGATTCCACTAGTTCGAAATTAATAATTGTGAATCTTTGACTGATGGAATTAAAATGGCAATCCTAATACTTACGAGGAAATCTATCAAGCAAACAAGATAATATTTTTATTTATTACATACAAAAAAAGACAATTATCACGATTATTGAGAACAATACAAAGGCGAACAAATATCACTATACAATATAATCAACAACAAAATGAAAGTGGCATTATCATCTTTTCTTTTATTCAGCTGGACCAGTCAAACGCCGGGTGAAGGCTGCAGCGTCTCCTCTTTGCCACTCGCCGGACCATCTCTCGCAGCCAATCGTAGTCGAGTTTGTCGACGTAATGCCGTTTTGTTAAGTACGACATGATGTGTCGAAATTCGCTGAACTTGAAAAAGGGAAAAAGAAAATTAGTATTAAGCATTTCTTATAGCACCTCCTGCCCTGGGAAGAGTGTTGACGGATTTGCGAAAACACCTTCTTTCATTTCCCGCACGTTGTTTAGGTTCTCCTCCTCGTACCATGGCAGCTTTTTCTTATTGATCATGTCGGCGAGCATGTAAAGCCAACTCTCACAGTCATCCTTGCGGCCAGACTCCTCGCTTCTATGCATGGCCAGTGGAGCGAACCGAATTGTTCCTTTGAATCTGACCTGGAAAATCATAAAAAGATTATTCAAAAAAGGATTTAACAATCAAAGAATATTGCGAACTAGCCTTGGACCGGGGGATGGCAACCGTCCCATCAGCGCCCACTATCTTCCTGGCGATTCCAAAATCCACCACGTATACCACATTCTGAGAACCAGTTTTGGCCAGCCCCAAAACAAAGTTGGCAGGTTTGATGTCTCGATGAACAAATCCGAGCGCGTGCATGTCCTTGATTGCTTCCAGAGTTTCGAGGGCGCAGTACAGTCCTGTGTTCATACTAAACAGGGAAAGTTTATTAATGACAAACTCACCTATTCTACCTGAAGATTTTGTTAGACTGTCGATACTTGATGTCGGCAAGTGATTCGCCCAGAAGCGACATCACTATGAACATGAACGACCGCACCTCAACGCTCCTGTCGTACAAAATTGGGAAGTGCTTCTGCTGCTCCTTTGACACTCCTTTGGCTGCTTCCAGTACTCGGATCTCCATGACAAGCTTAAAATGGTTGCGTCTCGGATTTCGTCGCTCCTCCTTCATTGCGAACAGGCCCCCTTTCCTCCAGTCCGCCTTGACCTTATACACAGCTCCATATCCGCCGTACGAAATGCTCTCCACGACGGTGTACGAGCGTCCACTTTGACTGGAATTAAAAAATAGTAGGACAAATACTATATTAAGCTTATAAAGAAAAATTTACCAGTTAATCTGCTCGCCTGGATCTCTGCCCGCGAAGGAGTACTGCGACACAAGAGACGAGGCCATGTCGAGTTGAACGGTGGTGCAAAAGCGGCGTTGATGTAGTGAGTTGTCGGCGAACGGTGGTGCAAAAGCGGCGTTGATGCAGTGAGTTGTCGATGAACGGTGGTGCAAAAATGGCGTTGATTTGAAGTTAAATTCATTTTGCTTGGCTTTTATAATAAAATAGTTCCCGTCTCAACAGTCATACCATCTGTATAAAAGCCAAGCAAAATGAATTTAACTTCAAATCAACGCCATTTTTGCACCACCGTTCATCGACAACTCACTGCATCAACGCCGCTTTTGCACCACCGTTCGCCGACAACTCACTACATCAACGCCGCTTTTGCACCACCGTTCAACTCGACATGGCCTCGTCTCTTGTGTCGCAGTACTCCTTCGCGGGCAGAGATCCAGGCGAGCAGATTAACTGGTAAATTTTTCTTTATAAGCTTAATATAGTATTTGTCCTACTATTTTTTAATTCCAGTCAAAGTGGACGCTCGTACACCGTCGTGGAGAGCATTTCGTACGGCGGATATGGAGCTGTGTATAAGGTCAAGGCGGACTGGAGGAAAGGGGGCCTGTTCGCAATGAAGGAGGAGCGACGAAATCCGAGACGCAACCATTTTAAGCTTGTCATGGAGATCCGAGTACTGGAAGCAGCCAAAGGAGTGTCAAAGGAGCAGCAGAAGCACTTCCCAATTTTGTACGACAGGAGCGTTGAGGTGCGGTCGTTCATGTTCATAGTGATGTCGCTTCTGGGCGAATCACTTGCCGACATCAAGTATCGACAGTCTAACAAAATCTTCAGGTAGAATAGGTGAGTTTGTCATTAATAAACTTTCCCTGTTTAGTATGAACACAGGACTGTACTGCGCCCTCGAAACTCTGGAAGCAATCAAGGACATGCACACGCTCGGATTTGTTCATCGAGACATCAAACCTGCCAACTTTGTTTTGGGGCTGGCCAAAACTGGTTCTCAGAATGTGGTATACGTGGTGGATTTTGGAATCGCCAGGAAGATAGTGGGCGCTGATGGGACGGTTGCCATCCCCCGGTCCAAGGCTAGTTCGCAATATTCTTTGATTGTTAAATCCTTTTTTGAATAATCTTTTTATGATTTTCCAGGTCAGATTCAAAGGAACAATTCGGTTCGCTCCACTGGCCATGCATAGAAGCGAGGAGTCTGGCCGCAAGGATGACTGTGAGAGTTGGCTTTACATGCTCGCCGACATGATCAATAAGAAAAAGCTGCCATGGTACGAGGAGGAGAACCTAAACAACGTGCGGGAAATGAAAGAAGGTGTTTTCGCAAATCCGTCAACACTCTTCCCAGGGCAGGAGGTGCTATAAGAAATGCTTAATACTAATTTTCTTTTTCCCTTTTTCAAGTTCAGCGAATTTCGACACATCATGTCGTACTTAACAAAACGGCATTACGTCGACAAACTCGACTACGATTGGCTGCGAGAGATGGTCCGGCGAGTGGCAAAGAGGAGACGCTGCAGCCTTCACCCGGCGTTTGACTGGTCCAGCTGAATAAAAGAAAAGATGATAATGCCACTTTCATTTTGTTGTTGATTATATTGTATAGTGATATTTGTTCGCCTTTGTATTGTTCTCAATAATCGTGATAATTGTCTTTTTTTGTATGTAATAAATAAAAATATTATCTTGTTTGCTAGATAGATTTCCTCGTATTGGATTTGTAGTTTCAAACTTAATTTCTTTGAATGCCTTGTTTTAACCTTAGCCGGTTTAAATGTTGAAGTGTACCCGTGTTTAGGTCTAAGAGTCGTTGATTATGTTTTAGTTGCACTAATAGAATTAAAAATTTTTGGTAGGGACAACTAAAATTGCCTTCGTTTTTTTGAGTCTTACATATTAGGACCAGCTCCAAAATTTACTAATGTCCACAACTTTTTACCATACATTCAAATATACTAAATCTTTAATTTAAAAAAGGTTGGGCATTTTGATTGTGAAATAAATGTTCAATGGTTAGAAAAAAATGCAGCAAGTAAAGAACAAGTTAAACCACAAGTTGATCGTTATACTTTAAAAAATGGAAAACATATAATTTTATTGGCAGAAGGGCGATTAGTTAATTTGGGATGTGCTACTGGACATGCTTCTTTTGTTATGTCTACTAGTTTTACTAACCAAGTTATTGCACAAATTGGTTAATTTATTTGATTAATTTATTTGATTGGAATACATTAATTTAATTTAAAAATTAATTTCCCTTCTATAATTTCGTTTAAGCTAAATTACTTTGAAAATTATTAAATAATTTATTAAAAAATTCTTTTTTTTTTAAATTAGAATTATATACAAAAGCAAATACTCCAAATGCTTACAAAACTGGTTTATATGTTTTACCAAAATTACTTGATGAGGAAGTAGCTAGACTTCATTTAGCTAAGCTTGGTGTTAAATTAACTAAATTGACTGATGAACAAGCAAAGTGATTAAATTAAATTTAAATAAAAATTAATTCTATTTTCCTCAGATATTTGGGTATTCCAAAAGGTGGACCTTTCAAGGCTGATCATTATCGTTATTGAATTTGTGGGGAAAGTGAATGAATTAAATAAATTTTTGGGATATAAATTTTGGATTTTAAAATTTTTCTACGGGATTTAAGGGATTTAATTATTTAAATTGTTGAAGAATATTTAAAATTTTGAATAAATTTTAATAAAATTAATAAAAGTTTAATAATTAATAAAAAATAATTAATAAAAGCTTTTTAATAAAAGTTGTTTTAAATATATTATTTTTATATCAACCTTTTAACGGATTTTTTAAATTTGTTATCCCAAATTGTCAAAGTTCTTTCTGTGATCAAAAGAAATATTTCTGTCTCCAATTTGTAATATGTAGCCTTTATTTACGTGCATTATAGTCGTTTCTATGGTTGTTCGTTTCTTCAGCAAAGAAAAGGAAACAATAAACATATTTTTTACTTTTCTAGTGTGTGCAGGGATGGCCGAGTGGTCTAAGGCGCCAGACTCAAGCAAAGCTTGCCCAGGTTCGGGTATTCTGGTGGGCGTATGCCCGCGTGGGTTCGAATCCCACTTCCTGCAAATATTTTTTGCTTTGCAATGTTATAATTATTTTTATATTTCTGAATATTTAATTTAATACAAGCTCAATTAAATAATTCAAATTCATTGTAATAGTTTAAATTTTAATTTTGGGGGCAATTCTCTAAAAATATAAAAGCCTATAAAATTTAGCACGATTCCTTCATTCTAGATCGGATTATTGTCAACGTAAGTTACTTTATCGTTTTTATTTGACAAAAATAAATTTTTCAGTCTAAACAACGGCAAAATCTTCACTTCAAAAATGACTACCGCCATAGTCGTTGCTGAAGCACAGCCAATAGTCTTGAAGGAGCTTTCCGCTGATTACACAGAACAGTTGGGCACAACTATGTTGGCAATCTTGGACACGATCGAACAGACACGACGGAAGGCTCGGCAAACCTATTTGGACATCAAGGAGTTCTATGAGGGTAGTGAGAAGATACAGAAAATGGTAAAGTATTGAGGAAGTCTTTGAATATACCTACATATTTCTTTAGTTGACTGAGGCATTATGGGACAAGTCTGAAATGAAGGAAGGCCATGCAATTGATCGAGTTGAGTTGCAGGAGCTCTATTTCAGTAAGTTGAGAGGCTAACAGTAACCAAACAAATTCCTTTTCTCTTTAGGTATGACAGTAATGATCTTCTCTCTAACTCTCGGAACTCTTGTTGGCAATCTTTGGACAGAGCTTGATTGGCTTCCACAGCTTGGTATCTTCCATGCGCTTGTAGGGATTGGGGCGCTTCTTTCCCGGATTTGGCATAAACTCAATCAATGCCCTTCTGATCCAAAAGAGCGTGTACATCGTTCGCGTCTCTACATTGCTTTGCTGGCTTTGGGGTTTTGCCTTGGACGTTTGTGTAGTTATTTGTTGCCAGTGATAGCACCGAGATTGCTTGCTCCGTTCGTGATTGCCTTTTTGGTGAATTTAAAGAATATAGTTTTAAAAGCTCTCTCCAATCTCATTTTCAGATTGATAACAAGCTGAAGTTGACTCGCGGTGGTCGTGTTGAATTCTTCATTGCCTTTGCTGTGCTGATGATTGTGGGGAGTTGGCTTCTTCTGTTTGTGTGCAGACAGACTAGCTATTTCAATATCCTTCTACTGTTCATTGTAATTGCTGTCAAGATTGGCTTCTTCTATGGACACTTCCAAGTAACAACAACTCTTTCCAAATTCTTTTCAAAACCTCCTCTCTTTTAGATCATCTACTATATCCACTGTGCCCACACGGACGAACTTCGCAAACAAAAGGAGGCATCAACAAAAGAAGATAAGGCCAAAACCCCTCCAGGGCCCTATTTCAATTGTCCACAGATTCTGTGGTCTGCGTTCTGTGCACAGACCGCAGAACCACAGAAATTCTGTTTCAATTATTCCACAGATTCTGCGGAAAAAGGAGTCCGCAGATTCTGTGGAAACATGCACAGAATCTGTGGAAACATCCACAGATTCTGCAAAACATCCAAAAACATGCAAAAACCACAGAATTCTATTTCAATTATTTTTCTGTGCACAGAAAAAAATCCACAGATCTGTGGCTTTTTTAGTCGATTCTGTGCATTTCTGTTTCAATTATTTCTGTGGTCTGCGGAAAATACACAGAATTCATTAAAAAATCCACCCTAAAATTTTTTCTGCGAATTTTTTACGGAAAAACTTTAAAAATTTTTTTCTAGGCCTAGGCTTAACCAAATTTTAGAATTTTTAAAGATTATTAGAGTTTGATTCATTCTCTATTTTTCGATATAAAAATTATAATTTTGTTACTTAAAATTATTACTTAAAATTAATTTTGAAAAAGGTACATCATTTTTTAGCATTTTTTGTTATATCCAAGCAATAAAAAAATAAAAAAACGCGAGAGATTCTGAAATTTAGAGCTATGATGTTCTAATCATCATGGATATCTCTAATGAGGGGATTTTTCCCCGGGATCTCTTGAGGATATCTAGCCTGGGATATCTCCTATGATCTCTCATTGATATCCGTCATAATCTCTCCTCCTATTTAATGATAGATTTCCTCCTTAATCCCTCCAATATATTAAACCTCAAAATCAATGGATATCCCACTTAATCCCTCCTCTACGATTTTCAAGTTCCGATGACTGAAATTTTGGATTCCAGGCATTTTCGATTTCCAGGAACCTCAATTTCTGACTAAACAATCCCCAGTTTTGTAACATTTCCCTCCCTTGCAACAACATCTATCGTAGTCTCCTGACTTTTCCATCTCCTGATTTTTCCGATCCGAAACATTAATTTAATTGGGGATTTAAGGATATTGGATGAACCAGAAAATTAAGCGGTATATCAGCGGTTTTAAAGTGATATCTAAAAGATTTAAATGGATTTTATGTGATTTGGAGGGAAAATTTTTAAATTTTTACAATATTTTTCAGTTTAATTTAAGAATTTTTAAAGTTTTTCTTCAAAAAATCAGGTACCATTAATACTGCAGTAGTACCGAACTGTCCTAACCATTTTTCGTTTCAATAACACTTTATTTTCAAAAACGCGGAAATAAAAAGTTTGAATTTAGAAGGAAAAATACACAGAACCACAGGAAAATAATTGAAATAGAAATTCTGTGGATCAGTGGAAAAAATCCACAGATTTCTATATTTTCCACAGAAATTTTCATCCACAGAATCTGCGGAATGTTTCCACAGAATCAGTGGTTGATTTCGCAGAATCTGCGGGCACCACAGATTCTGTGCACACAGAATTTAATTGAAACAGAATTTCCGCAGAATCTGTGTTCTGTGCACAGAATGCAGAATCTGCGGACAATTGAAATAGGCCCCAGACCAACCGCCAAAGGGTGGATGTTGCAGTGGAGATGGAAGCGCCGCTCCTGAAGAGGAAAAGAATATTGGCTTTGATCAATGGAAATGTATTAGCCACTTCTCGTATATTCTGGCTTCTGTTGTTGTCGATACGTTGATGGCCTTTTTTCTTGGATAAGTAGAAAACGGAAAGAAGTGAAAGAGAATATTTGTGTGAAGAATAGGAAAGGATTGATAAAAGTATATAAAAATAAAGATAAATAAATGTGTAGTGAGTAATTAATTAGGTATATTTCCTCCCATTATATCTCTAAATATAAACAATTGTTAATTATTACTATAAAATATATTAGGTATTCCCTTCTCTTATCTATGTGATATTGTGTTTTTATTGTTGTTTTGCTGTATTGTTAATAAATGTGAATATGTAAATCTTTTAAAAATTTTAAACTTGGAATACGATTGCGAGTTTACTTTTTCGGACAGGGCTTTTTCGAACTCTGCCTGCAAAACTTACCCTTGAATTTATTCTACGGTCCCAATTTTGTTTTCTGAAAAAACATTTTACTAAAATTATTTTCTAAATTTTATAAAATATTTTAAATTATATATATTTTCGATACAGAACACATACGTCCGATCCGTCTCGAAGACCAACACTCTAGGTTAAACTGAGATATTCAATTCAATTTATATAACTTTTGACATTCAGATAAAATAAAATAAAACGTGACTATAATTAAATCACTAGTTTTGTATAAGGTTTGGAGACATTTGAATGGAGTTTGACTTGATAAAATTTACTTTGATAAAAAATATGTGACTTTGATAAAATTCTTCATTATCTAACATAATAGGGGCTATAACATAAATTGACAAGTTTTAAATCGATTTTTATTACTTTGGATAAAAAAAGACTTTAAAGTTTTATTATGAGTGCATGTTAATGGTGAATTAATTCTAAAAAATGAATAAACTAAAAATAATTTGTTTTGAATTAAATTAAAGTTTAACAATAAAAATAAAAATATTTTACATAATTACAATAGTGAATTTTATCCTGAAATAATTTTCTAAAATTTTTAATACTATGGACATGTATTATATTTAATGTAGATAAGGAGATATTTTCTTTCTAAAATTTTAAAATAATTTTAGAAATTATTTTAAGGATCTTTCTAATTTAAGGATTTTGCCAGAAAAGTGGCTAAGAAGGTTAGTCTAAGCAAAATCCATAGACAGGCTTCAAAATGCTCATTTGAACAGCGGCACTTGTTTCGGTACAGAAAATTTGTTGTTTAAGGAAGAGAAAAGGAAAAAAGGAAGAAGAAACGGAAGGAAGAACAGAAAGGCACAAACAAATTCTTCCCCCTTTTTTACATCAAAACAGCTGTCTCTTTCGGTTGTCACCAAGCTGAGAACAAGCTTTTGAGTGTTGAAAAGGAGGGGGGATAAGGCGAGAAAAAATGAAAGAGATGTAAAAGGACAAGTGAAATTGCTTCCAATATAGGGGTAAAGGGGCATTGAGGGATGAGCGTGGTTAAATACGTCGTCATTCATTTGTGGTGAGACTTAAATCAGCCGGGATGATAAAGGGGATGAATATATATTTATGGACAAATATATCGATATGTTAAAATATAATTAAGAAAATATGTAGACAAATTTTTATAATAATTAAAGGGATTAAATTGAATTAAAGGAAAGAAAAACTACTAAAATAAATTTTAAAAGTTTATTGTGATAAGGTTTTAGATTTATATTTGTGTTTATTTAAGTATTAAAATAATAGGAAATTTTTTTTTATTTCTTTTAAAGGTCATTAAAAGTTGAAGGTTGTTGATTTATTTTTATAAAAATAATGAAATTTGAGGCGTAAATATTTTTTTATTTTTAAAATTAATTTTTAGAGGCTGTTATTTTACTTCACTTTTGTTATTTATAGAGAACATTTAAAAAAAATAGAATTTAAAATCAAAAAATATTAAAAATAATTTTTTAGAGGGACTAAACTTTAATAAGAATTATTTGACTTTTAAGAGGTTATTTTAAATTTTCTAAAAATTTTTAGAAATTTTCTGAGGTAGATAATTCAAAATTGATAAAATAAAAGATGTCATTAGTTTACTCAAGGGAATTTTGAAAATTTAAAAGGAATAAGACAATGTCTATTTTTGTTTAGAAATTGTATTTTTAAATTAAATATTTTAATTAATCTTGAGTAAAATTGAGACAAATTTGTGGTTAAACTTGACTAAAAGATTATTGAGGTATTAATTAAAAATTTGTTTTGGTCTCCAGTATATATATGTTTTTAACATAAGAATGAAATGATAAGAAAGAAACCTACACTTGGTATAAAATACATGTAAAAATGCTTTTTGTTAAATTAGGGAAGACGAAGAATTTTATTTTCTTATTGCTGCGTTTTGTGGGGGCGTCGTGGTAACTAAAAAGCATTGCCGCGACTAGTAGTATATTAAATTAGTTCGCGCTGGGATATAGGGAAGAAGAAAAGTAATGGGACAAAATGTGAAGGTGGAAATATGTAGGATGAATGTAAAAGTATATGAGGAAGAGGAATTTGTAGAGGACAATTGAGGGAGGAAATATTTGGCATTTTTACAAAAGCTTTAAGGGGGAATTTTAATTTTATTTTTTGCTTCCTCAATTTTTTTTATTTACAACAAAATTTTGTTTTTAAATTACTCCCGTTTTTTTTATTCATATAAGTATGTATAATTTGTGTGTCTTGTTTATTCTCTTTTTTTCGTGTTTTGTTATTGCTCCTGAATTTATTTATTATGAATTGTGAAAAAGAGAAGTTTCTTGTTTACATGAAAAGAAAAAACAATTATGCGTAAATATATTCGAGATTATTTTTTTCTAAGAATTTCTTGGGGTTATCTAAAAAAACAAATTTAATTTCGAAGCTTCAGTTCTTTAAAAGAAAACAATATTTTCTAAAATTGTGGAAAACTTTTTTTAAGTAAAAATTGGAATTTAAGGGGGGGGGGGGGAGGGGGAATGGAACGTTTTTGGCAACAAACAAAAATATTTTTGAATTGAAAAAATGGAACGGTTATCATTGTTTATTTGCTTTTTACGTCATTTAAATGCATGCATACAATTAAGTAATCATTTATCGTCACTTTGAAACAAAAGTAAAAGAGCTACTATTTTAGTATAATATTTGT